GTATTGTCTAGAGCATGGAGACTGGTTGTCAGGATTCCTGGGTTCTCTTTTGGTTCTGGAAGGGTATGTGGTCAACTAGTTAGATCAGGGGACTGAGGCTCATGAGATCAGAGTTGTTTTTCTGCCTGTGACACTGACTCACTGTGTGACCTTGGGCAACTCATGTCCCCTCTTCGTGTCTGTTTCCCCATCTCTAAACAAGAGAATGATTCTGACTTGCCTCACAAAGGGTGTGTTGCTGAACTCATCTGTGTTTGTAAAGCACTTTGAGATCCTCAGGCGGAAGGTGTTAGAGACAGGCAGAGCATTATTGTTATTATCAGGCTGTCTTCCTTGTACTCATTCTGACACTGAATGTCACCCCATTTCATCTTATTGCTTTGGTGACATGCTGCATATTTATACCCTGGGGCTCTTCACTGTCAGTCTCTTTAGTTTTAAAATAAATTATTTTGAAAAACTGTGAGCAGTCTCAGAAGAAGCCAGGAGAAGCCTGCACCCCTGACTGCAGGTGACATCTCCTGGGATGTGGTGGCACCAGTCTCCTGGATGGAAACTCCAGAGGAAAATAAGATGCTCGCTTTCTCTTCCCTATTCGGAGAAGGGAATAAGCCAGTTGGAGCATGGGATACCCAGAGTTGCCTGGCAAGAACAAACCACATTTCTTATTAACGAACTGACTATATTTTTGTAATCACAACACTACCCCTTCCCATCTCATCCCATTGCACAGTTCCAGTGCAGTGTCCCAGCCTAATATCAGCACATATCTGGATTTATTTCCTATGGGGCACGCACATGTACTTGATATCAGAATTTCCAGGAAGGAATGTTATGATAAGAAGAGACAACAGAAATTATTCATGGGGAACTTGCCAAAATCCCTCCCTTCCCTTTCCCTCCCAAAGACCTTCCCTCCCCCACCCTGAGCTAGACATCTTCTCAGAGAATAGACTCTGCCTTGCACACCGTGACAGCCAGAGGGAGAGGGAGCTGGAGATAGCGAGGAAGGAAGCTACTCACAGGACTGGGAAATGCTGCACACTGCTTAGAGACTGGTGGAGCAAAGAGCCTACTCTTAACAGAGCACTTTTCCCTCACTGAATCCTGGGTCTCTGCAGCAGGAGCTGTATAGCTGAAGTAGGCAGAATGGGATGAGAAACGCAACTTGCAATCCAGGCCGAGATTCTCATGATGAAAACAACCAGGGCATACGGTGGACCAAAATGCAGCAGCAAGAGACAAATAACCTGCAAGGAAAACCAGCAGAATCAAAACCTGGACTGCAGAATATTCTGACTCTGTAATCAAATCTGTGTGTGTGTGGGCTGCCGATTTATCACCAAACATCTCCTTGCAAAGACCCTGAACCTTTTTGCTGTGAGTCTCTCGGCTCACGCGAGGAAGTCCGACTGGCAAATATTTCTTCGTTAGTTTGACAGGAACTGGCATCCTCGGCATCAAATTCCAAGCCTGTGAATGGACAAGGCATGTCTGCAGCCAGGACCTGCGGATTCCTGAGGCTCCACGGGAAACGGACTCTGTGAGGCGAAAGGTTAAAGTGGGATCATGGGAGGGAAGCAGGTCAAATGGTGAGCGATTGTTGTCATTGTCATTTGAAACAGCAGGGTCGGGGTGTTTATTAAAATCTCCAGGGAATTCAGGCTTGTTACTGAAACTGTTTCCATAAGCCCTGATTGCGTGCAAGATCCCAAAGCATTGATAATCCAGGGATTTGACTAGGCAAGGATTTTAGCTAAGAAACCAAGCAATGCTAGAAGGAATAATACAGAGTGTTTTCCTGTGACATAAATCCTGCCTCAGTTGATTTAATTTCCCAGCACTCATTTCTGCATGCTTCAATGATGAATAGTTATGTATCCTTTTAAATAAGAAATCAAATTTGAATGCGTCTTTGGATATCTCTCACTCGAATAATTTTGGGAATTGATATGAAAAACCATGGGAATTTGGCCAGCTTTAACCAGTTGGCAGAGTGATAAATAGGGGTGACCTTTGGCCTGTGCTGCTGCTTCAGGAGCAATCAGCGTGCATGTAAATGTGTTCCTGCCCAAATGGCCATGTTTCTCTCATGTGCAGGGAAACTGCCTGGAGATGGAGCTGTATCTGTAAGAAAACCTAAAGGATTATATTAAAATCCTGTTGTAGATGTGGTGTGAAATATCTGATCCTGTCTCAGTTGCGTTAACCCCCAAATCTATCACAAAATGTTCACTTTGGGCAGTGGATCTAGTTCTGAAAAGAGCAGATTGGGGAGAAATGTAACTTCCCTGTGCTGTGTCCTGTTCCCTGCCACATGGCCCACACGTCCCATATCCTGCACCTCCCTAGAGCACCCGCTGCCAAATGTGCCTTTTGCCTTCTGGCCCTCTAGGTTGATCTTTCCCCTGTATGCCTAGGTAGCCTTCCTCACATGCACCAAAGGTTGATCTTGTTTTCTTGGGCTGCTTCCTCATGGTTTTCCTGCTTGTGGGGAGACAACCCACAAATACACCTCTCAATGATTACATAGGGCTGATGGCTCCCCAGGGGTCTGAGGTGAACAGGTGCAGAGGGAACATTAGTGACTGTAACTTAAAGGACGGCAAATCTCATGCAATGTTCCTGGGTGTGTTAGGTCAGTCAGTCTGTCTCTGTGACTTTCTGTGTATCTGTGCTGATTTAAAGTTTGATCATTTGTCTTTAATAATCGATTATCTCCTCAGAACACAAACATCACATTCCTGGGCCCCTGGGCAATGATTTCAGTTTTAAACATCATCTGTTAGGGAACGCTGCATTGGGATTCGCTTTCTTTAAGGTAAAGCTTTGGGCACATCCAACAACCTTTAGCAAATCTGCACACTGTGGGTATGTCTACACTGCAAAGAAAAACCTGCAATGCCTAGTCTCAGAGCCTGGGTCAATTGATTTGGGCTAGCATGGCTCAGGGTGTGGGGCTAAAAATAGCACTGGAGCCTGGGCTCTGAAACTGGCAAGGGGGGAGGGTCTTGGAGCCCAAGCTCCAGCCCGAGTGGGAATGTCTACACTGCAATTTTTAGCCCTGCAGCCTGAACCCCGTGAGCCTGAGTCAATTAACCTGGGCTCTGAGGGTACAGCTCCACTGTGATAAAAGACCCGTGGCACAGAGCCATGGTTGGCCCAAGTCAGCTGACTGGGGTTCACGGGGCTTGGGCTGCCAAGCTATAAAATTACAGTGTAGATATTGGGGCTTGGGCTGGAACCCCGGCTCTGGGAACCCAGGAGTGGGGAGGGTCCCAGAGCCTGGGCTCCAGCCCGAGCCCGAATGTCTAAACTGCAATTTTATAGCCCTGCAGCCCAAATTCCACTAGCTTGAGTCAGCTGACTTGGGCCAGCTGCAGGTCTTTTATTGCAGTGTGGCTATACCCGAGACTGTGTGCTGAGGGTGTTTCTTTTCAAGGTAGACATACACTGTATGAGCAACAGGGTCTGAGCAAATACTGCTGCTGCTTTTTGTATCTAGTCCAAAATGGTTACTCTCTCTTCACTTAGTGACTCACACTCATTTGTTCTTTTACTGCAGTGGAAGCTGACTTAGTTGAATCATTTAAAACTAGATTAGTCAAACGCCTGGAAAATAGACTAGGAACAGTCTCTTGGGGGTGGCTCCTGGGAGTGGACTATATGGGAGCTGCTAACAGGTCATTTCCTCTCTAATTTCTAAAATTCTTTGATTTTATTAGAGAGATGTGTATGTTCCTGAGCTGGGGGACCTATATCAGAAGTGCTGGGAAGATTGGGAAGGCAAGCTGTAGAAGTGCATTTTATTTCTCTAAATCTATTCTGTTACTTTCACCATGTTTTCTTTTTATTCTCTCTGGCTTTTGTGTCTGTCTTGAGGAGAATGAAACATTAACTCCTCCTTGCACTTGCAAGGATTAGTTCCTGGAGACTTTGGGGGCACATTAAATGGATCACTGAGCTTTGGATGCCTTTGCTGTTGTCCCGGTGATGGATATGGGAAGAACGTCTGAAAGAGCTTGAGAGTCTGGACCTCACAACCAGCTGAGATTGTTGTAGAAATATGTGGCTGCTTTCAAGAAGCTTTCTCATTTAAAGCTAGATCATGTGTTGGTGTCTTTGTGTTCCCGAGGGCTCCTTAGGCCTGGTCTACACTACGGGATTAATTCGGATTTAGCAGCGTTAATCCGAATTAACCCTTCACCCGTCCACACTACAGAGCCAGTTAATTCGAATTAAAGGGCCCTTTAAATCGATTTCTGTACTCCACCTCGACGAACGGAGTAGAGCCTAAATCGATTTTGTTAATTCGAATTAGGGTTAATGTGGCCGCACACCACCGAATTACTGTGTTTAAATTAATGGGGTAGTGTGGCCGCACACCACCGAATTAATGTGGTTAAAAACCGAATTAAGGTGCTTAGTGTGGCCGCGCACAATCGAATTTATACAACCTGTTTCCCAAATTCGAATTATCTAAATTCGGATTAATCCTGTAGTGTAGACATACCCTTAGCATGGGAATTCTAGGTTGGTTCCCCATACTGTAATTGTCCCTTTAAATACAGGTGAGAAATCAAGAGAGCTGGGATACTGTGAATGACTTTTGGTAGCAGTTTGCAACTGTAGGCTAAGCCTTGCATTACATTATGTTGTAAGCAGAACTGCAGTCTGAAGGATAGTCTAGAATTAGCTCCCTGACTTTGGGATCTGTGTTAATCCTGCAGTGGTTGCCTCTCCTATTTACATCTTCTTAAGCTACAGGAAAAATGAAAAGACTAATTACTGCTGCAGCACTTCAGTCAGCTACTGGCCTGAAAAGTTACAGGCACTGTCTGGCCTGCTAATGAATTCATTGGCATGTGGGCAGCGCTCAGTGTAACCAGACTTCTTGCATATTAGCTTTTTATTTTAGACAGAGATGAAGCTGCTCTTTTCCCCCTGCTATGTTTGCAGCTCACACTGGAAATAATTGTATCTCCTCTTCTCCTCTGCAGTCTCACATCACCCAGTCCCATACACAGCACAAAGAGCGAGTCCATTGCAACCCAGTCAGAGGAGAAGGCAGACTTTGTGATCATCCAAGCTGAAGAAACAGAAACCAAAACAGGTAGAGCACAAATGATGCATTTCATCTTTCCCACTTCCAGGACTTCCCACGTGAGAGCTATGGCAGAGACTTGCTGGATGGATTCCCAGAGACCGTATGAGTGTAGAATGTTGTGAGCTGATACATCAGTTCATATAAAATTAAATCCCCAAGCTCACTGTTTAATAGTGCTAAGGTTGTGCCACTGTTTGGCAAAGTCCAGGAGACTCACTAGCATGCTTCAAAAATTAGAAGCCTTAGAGAACGGATGGAGTTCAGTGTCATTTATTAGTTACAGTATATGGTGGTTGCTTTGTCCTTACTTCAAGATGTTGTGAAGAAAAGTCCAATCCCACAGAAAGATTGAGTCTGTTTGAACTTGGAGGCTGGAGCTGAGTCTGTGTAATGGGGTTCTGGATTTATGCTACAGCTGCACAAAATGACCTGACTAACTTGCAGTGGCACTTTGCAAGGCTGGGGATTGTTGTACACTTATTGCCTGGTTTTCCTGACACACCATTGACTTTTTACCATGACTCCCTCCACCCCTCCCAGCGATAAACCTGATCTTTGTTTCATTTCAAGTGAGCAAAAAGAATTAGCCAAAATGTCCTGCTGCTGGGTTAGTTTCTGTTTTAAATCTATTAACAGTCCACAGAGTGCAAAGGAAAGGTTTTTGATGAAGTTTCTGACATCATTTTCCTCTCATGAACGTAGTGTAGAAACAGTGTTTTCAGATCAGCTTCCATCCCCAGGCTGAATCACAGGGAGTCTCTCTAATGAAATGCTTTGTCACCCCAGCCAATAAAGCCCCCTGTTTACTACTCTTTAGTCTACAATATTTGATTGTAAAATATTTGTGAGGTTGAAATATTTGGTAGGCTGTAACGTTTCACTGGTGTTTTCAACATCAGCATGCCCATCCACATTTTGCACAGTGGAATATCTTTGTCACTTGGCTAGAGACTGTAGTAGCTGCCTGCAGTGATCAGTAACAACTCTGCAATGATGTGCCCCACTAGGATGTTTATCCCCAAGTTTAGTATCACACCTTGGGTACAATGTCTAAATCCCTGCAGCCTCCAGAGCTGTGGCATTAGCCAGCACAGACCATCTTGTCTTGTGGAGATTACAAAAGGTTGCAGAGTTTATAAAATATTTTTATGTTCTTCTCTTTAAAAAATATCCCATTGATCTCTTGATCTAAAATCAAGGCCAGTGATGAGCAGCAGTGATGATACTGAATATAAATGCAAAAAGTCAGAAAAGCAAGGACAGGCTTTGATTCAAATGTTTATTAATCTGTAAAACAGGGGCTAAGAGCTTTCTGAAATTTGCTTTAATTCTTGCTCAGATATTTTTGAGGACATGTAGCAGGAGACTAGTGCCTAGGTACCACAGCAATGAAAGGTATGAGTAGATAGATCAGGCAGGAATAATGAACTGACTCATTACAAATGTCTCTGTTGGAAAAGGTCTCACACAGCAAATTACTATGGACCCAATTGTGCCAACCTTTTGCTGAACAGGAACTGGCTCTCCAAGTAGCCCCATTAAATTTGTGGAGTAAATTACTATACAGCATGAGTAAGTTTGACAGAACCAGGCCTTGAATAAATTGGTAAACAGGGTTCTGCCTGGAAAACCTTGGCTTATTCAGGAATGGGACACAGAGGCTCATAGTGAACGTGCATTTCGCTCCCCAAGCACAGCAACTGGAGCGAGACATTCATTCAGTTAAAAGTGGCACGCTCTCCCTGCCAGCACCTATAATGCTTCAGTATGTGGAGCAAAACCTGGCAGGGCTTCAAGAATTCTGGCTTTGCCCTCCAGGGTTTTCACCCATGGCTTAGCAACCAGTCGCGGAGTATCTTAATAGCAAGAAATACCGAAACAATGGGAAATCTTGATCACAGGTGTTTAGGGCCTGATCTAAAGTTCGTTAAAGTCAGTGTGGTCTTTGCATTGACTTTAGTGGGCTTTAGATCCGTCTATTAGTGCTTATTGGAGTAGCCAGGGAGGGGGTGCCTCCTGCAACACTGAGAGATCCCCCCTTCCCACTCCCCTTCATCCTTTCCTTCAGCTCCAACAGGGAGATATAAACACCCTCACACTGCATCCTCCTCTTCAACTTGCCTAGGACTCTCTAACACCAGGAGACCTTGTACATCAGTGCTAATGAAGATGAAGGATTCAGGTCATGCACACACAGGGAAGGTAATGTTTCTTTTGCAGGGTGAATGAGGCATAAATCCCTCAAGTTGGGGGAAGGTGCTTCACCTAGCTGTTACCTTGACATCAGCTGGAAGAGATTCCAGTTCCTGCCACTGAGAATCAAGTGCAGAGAGCTGGAGACTTCTGTATGCTGTGCCTCGCTTTTCAGAACTCCTCTGTTGTTGTTCAGCTGTATTTCATGTAGCTTTTTCCTCTTGCAGAAGAGACAGACTCTCCATTTCTCCCAGAGTGGCAGGCCGGAAGCCCTGGGACATACCTAGAGACCTCCTGGGAGGAGCAGCTGCTGGAACAACAAGACCATTTAGAAAAGGAAATGGAGGAAGCAAAGAAGATGATTTCAGGCCTGCAGGTATTCGCTTTGCTTTTCAGCCAGCATTTCTCTTATCTTCCCATCATACTCTTGTTTCCCATTGAGCTCTAGCTGAGAGAGAGACTACTCCTGTGGCCTGGGACTCAGGAAATCTGGGTTCAGTTCCAGGCTCTGCCACAGACTCCTTGGATTATCTTGGGCAAATCACTTAATCCCTCAATGTGCTCATCGGTTGTATAATAATCCTTCCCTACCTCATGGGGTGTTGTAAGGATATTATGCTGATGGGGATAGGGAAGTACCTTGATAGACAACAGAAAGGACTCATCACAGCAGTTTAAGATATGGCTCCTTAAGCCTGATGCTAATCATGCTTTGCTCTTGCACCCCCCGCACTTCCTGCCCCAGCACTAGTGTGGGTTTTCTTTCTCTTATCTTCACTGGCTTGTGCTTTGTTGCTGTCCATCTTTCCCTCTTTGCAGGGCTTTTGAATAAGGTGATAGGAAGCAAAGAATGGCCTTTCCAAGCTCCCAGACATAGTTCAGAGAGATATTTTTAGATAGTGTCAATCAGTTTGGACAATTTTCTTTTAATTCTAGACTCTCAAAAAGCATAATTTTTACCTGGTTTCCCAGGCTGTCTCTTCTGTGGGGAAGATGTGATGAGAGGCTGGTGTGAGGGTGGAAGAGGCTGAGGCAGTGCATGGAAGTGTGTGTGATGCTGGTGCAGGGATGCAGGTTTTATTCATTTCCAGTGCATGCCCTTAGAGGGGCTGACTGCATATAGTAATGAAGAGACTTAAGTCTAGTGAGCACCATCATTGGTTACAGTAACGGTGACTGGGACAGACTGGGAAAGCGCAGAGGGCATATTGTGAGCACCCAGAAAGGGATCTCCTTCAGCGGGTGCTGAAAAGTCTGGGTTTAGTAAATGATCATCTCCCCTGTCAATGTCTTTTGGTTACAGTCCAGTATTTTATTGGATTCATTAGGTGGGTGCCCTATACCCTGATTACATGGTAACACTTGAATGTGCTGTCACCAGGAAAAACATGTATGTTACCGCCCAAAGTAGCAAGATGCAACAGCTTTTTCCCATGTGCTGGGACTCCCATTCCTTGCTAAGACGCTTGGCAGCCCATGGTTTTTGTTAGCAGCCAAGGCGAATAAAACAGGCTTTGTGTGATTTGTGATTGGAAGTAATGCAAAGAGACAAGGGAATGCAGGAAAATCAGTAGAGATTCATAGAACTGATCAAGAGCGATAAAGAATCAGATCTGTCTCCTTTTAGTAAGACTGGTTGGGCTGTAAAATTTGGCACTTTCCCTAATGATCATTTGAATCAATTTTCTCTATCGGACCTTGTTCTAGCTGCCCTGCTCTAGTCCTTCCCTGACCAAATGACCCTTGCCTCTGTGCCTTTGTGTGACTCTGCTCAGCGAGCAGACTCCCTGCTCCATATGGCAAAGACCCTGAACTCTCCCAGGAATACCCCTTTCTGTTTGTGCTGGGAACCGCACTTATTTTGAATTGTAAATATTTATGTACAAGTAAACAAAGCCCGCATTGTGTGAGCAGCACACAGGCGTGCTCCCAGCTGACAATGGGCAAGGGACACAAAAGATTCCAAAAGAAAATAGATGGTTGGTACAATCCGCTTGCATAATGCACCCTCTGGGAGCAGAGGAAGGCAGCACTGGGGAGACTGGCATTGCCCCCCCAACACACCTCGGGAGCAAGGGAAAGCAGCTGGCATGCTGCCCCCCTCACTCCTCAGAAACAGGAGGAGGCAGCTGACACAGCTGTCCAAGAAATTGGATTTGATTCATTGATTTTTCCCTTCTTGCTCAATATTTAAAAGCCTCTGGATCACAAGGGTTTGATTGAAATTCTGAGACCCTGTGCAGCTTTCGGTGTTCCTGTGTGACTCCTGCCTCGATGTCCTGCTGGGCAAACTTTGAGAAGCGTTTCCCCAGGAAGATTTGCATTAAATGAATACAAATGGCTGTCTGTTTGGCATTCAGCAAGGTTTGCATCTCTCCGGTGAGAAAATCGGACTCGACCCTTCAGCCTTGGCATTTCTGGGTCCAAGATGGAACATCCCTGCAAATGAGATTTTTAATTGGCAGCAATGAGATTGGAGTAGAACTCAAATAGAAAACTATCCGAAAGGAAGGGATGCCACTGTCCTAGCATCATCTGTGCTAACTCTCATCAGCCTCCCAGTTCTGCCTTGTATTGCTGGCCTATCTACCTCTATGCTACTCTCCAGCATAAACTAATTGGCTCTTGAAATACCCTGCTTCTGAGTCCCAGCAGTAAACGTGTGGCCCAGGTCAGTCTACACGAGGACAGTGACCTGTTGCTGGCAGTGGTCCCTCAAGTCTCTGTAGCGCTTTCTGAAAGGGTATTGAAAACAGAGGTGTCCCAGTTACCCTCACATTTAAAGTGCTTTCAGTACCAGCTCAGGGGGGATCTGCTGTTGAATGCCATTGTCAGCCATGGTTCCAGTGTGAACAGAGACTACTTAGCAGGTCTTAAGAGTGGGAAATGTTCCTAAAAAACACACCCAGGCATTGCTGTACTTGTTCAATCCAGACGTCCCCTCCTTCCAATATCTTTGAAATTAGAATGTCCATTGACTGAGAGACTAGTTTGTTTTTTAAATTAAATTTTTATTGATGCCTTGGACACGTTCCAAACTAGTCTGAAAAAAACCCTCTTGCTGCAAATCTCTGCCTAACTTTCAGCTTCTTTCCTTCAGTTTTTGTATATGCTGTCTGTCTGTAAAGGGTGATTTTATGCAGCTCAGATTAAAAGCCAGTGCAAACATTGCTCATAAAAAGGGCTGAGTTGATACCTTAGTTTGGTGCAGAATTCCCCTTCACCTTGATGGGAGTTGCGTACGCCTGTCACCAACAGACTTCTCTGCTGAGGATCCTTTCTTGGGGACATTCTGATGTCTTACGCTTGTTTCAAAACAAGCCCCCTTTTCTGTGCAGTAAGATGTCAGCAGAAATGATAGAGAAAATTGTTTAGAGGCTGTTTGGGTCTAGATTGCTGTGAAATGCTGCTGGCTAAAGCTGTGGAGATGGGATTGAGTTTCTCCTTGTGGCTTTCCAAGAAATCACCTGAGTGGGGGATTCTTTTTGCCTTTGCTGTTGCCCAGGCGCTGTTGCTCAATGGGTCATTACCTGAGGACGAGCAGGAGGGATCATTTGTCCTTTGTGAACGTGGAGCCTGTCCAGAAGAGCAGCTGGTGAGCATGTTCTTTGCCCTTAAAATCTAGTTTCAGTCCATTTTGTGCACTGTTCAGACAGAGGATGGGTAATAACTGCAGTGCATTTGCATTCAGGTCATAATCCGAAGTCGTCTGGACCAGAGCATGGACGAAAATCAGGACCTAAAGGTTAGAAGAGGACAGATAAAGACAGAATGGTTATTGGGATTGGGATCTTGGGGGCTCCTTCTCTATGTGCACTATGTAGCTCTCTAATTTAAGCAGAGGGAGGGAATGTAGTTGCAAATGGATGACTGGGAGTCAGCAGCTCTGCTGCTGTCATGCGATGTGAACTTGGTTAAGTCACTGCACTTCTCTATGCCTCAATTTTTAAAATGGATTAATAATTGCCTCCCAAATGGGCCGTGAGAATGAGTGAACTGAATTTGGAAAGTGCTTTGAGATTCTCACATGGGAGGTGCTTTATGAGTATTATTATTACTCACGCATGAGTAGTTTCATGATCATCTGTGTTGTAAGCTAGCGTAGGGTAGAATCTGGGGAAATGCCCCCTTTTCATCCAGTTGGCCTCTAAATAATGCTGTCAATGCTGCTCTCCTTTAAAACAAAACACCAAACAATTATTTGAATTAAGTCCAGCCCTGAATAGACTTCTCTGCACATTCTTGAAGCTGGAGCCTTTCTCGAGAGATGCATATCGTGCTGCATTTAGAAACCTTTATCCAGGACAATTGTTAAATTTCTAGCCATGTCTGGGTGTAAACAAGCTTTCATGTGGAAGATAAAAGCAGCTTAGAAAAACCCTCCTGTCAAGCCTGTCTCTCTTGTGCTCTGCGCTGAAGTTGGCAGTGGCCCAGCACTAACGCTGGAAGTAAAGTGCTCTGCATTGCTCCAAAGGGTAGATTTGGTGGATTCGCAAGCTTTAGCTCTGCAATTTAATATAAAGAGTTTAGGAGAGCTACAGCTGCTCAGAAGGTGTTTCATGGAGAAAGAATGATTTCTATCGCTGGGTTTGTAAATTCTTTAAAACGGGTCCTGGTCTGAGATGTTTTTTGGTCTGTGGGAGGAGGTGGGGTTTGTTTTATTTCAGAGGTCTCCTGAGACCAGGTGTTGGGAGGGATGGAGATATTTCTGGGATGACGTGAAACGACCATTTAAACAAATTGTGTTGGATTTACAGAAGGAGCTACTGAAATACAAACAAGAAGGGCGAAACCTACAAGGAATAAAGGTGAGAAGAGAGAGAATTAATGAAATAGTTAACGGTAACCCTTGGGAGCCTATCAGAGGGGTCAGGAGCAACATGATACCTCTCAGTTTACCCCAAGGAATGGAGTAGGGCGTGTTAGAGCAGGGAAGTGGCAGTCAGGGCTCACAGCTTTATAGATTCCAAGGCCAGAAGGGAACACCGGTAAGTGGAGACAAGCTCTAAATTTGTCTAACTTCAGCTTCCATCCGTTGGATTGTGTTATAACTTTCTCTGCTTGTCAAGGCTGTATCCCCACTTTGAACTTTAGGGTACAAATGTAGGGGCCTGCATGAGGACTCCTAAGCTTAACTACCAGCTTAGCTCTGGTCCGCTGCCACCATCTTAAGAATTCCCTCCCTGGGAAGCCTTGAGAAACCTTTCACCAATTCCCTGGTGAACACAGATCCAAACCCCCTTGGATCTTAAAACAAGGAGAAATTAACCATCCCCCCTCCTTCCTCCCACCCTCCTTTCACCAACTCCTGGTGAATACAGATCCAAACCCCCTTGGATCTTAAAACAAGGAGAAATCAATCTGGTTCTTAAAAAAGAAGGCTTTTAATTAAAGAAAAAGGTAAAAATCATCTCTGTAAAATCAATATGGAAAATAGCTTTACAGGGTAATCAAACTTAAAGAGCTCAGAGGACCCCCCTCTGTCTTAGGTTCAAAGTACAGCAAACAAAGATAAACACTCTAGTAAAAGGTACATTACAAGTTGAGAAAACAAAGTAAATCTAAGATGCCTTGCCTGGCTTTTTACTTACAAGTTTGAAATAGGAGAGACTTGTTTAGAAAGATGGGGAGAACCTGGATTGATGTCTGGTCCCTCTCAGTCCCAAGAGCGAACCACCCCTTAAAACAAAGAGCACACACAAAAGCCTTTCCCTCCCCAAGATTTGAAAGTATCTTGTCCCCTTATTGGTCCTTCGGGTCAGGTGTCAGCCAGGTTACCCGAGCTTCTTAACCCTTTACAGGTAAAAGGATTTGGAGTCTCTGGCCAGGAGGGATTCCATAGCACAGTACACAGGAGAGCTGCCACCCTTCCCTTTATAGTTATGACACTGCTAGATTAAAGATCACATTATTAAATATCTGTTCCCCATGTAGATATTTATAGACTGTAATCAGATCACCCCTTAACCTTCTCTTTGTTAAGCTAAATAGATTGAGCTCCTTCAGTCTATCACTATAAGGTACGTTTTCTAATCCTTCATCATTTTTGTGGCTCTTCTCCTGGGTTCTGTTCCTGGCACTCGGAAGTGAATATGGTCAGAGCAGGGAACTGGGAGTTTGGACAGCTGGGTTCTATTCCTGACTCTTTCACTGTCTTTGTGACCTTAGCCAAATCACATTGCTTCTTTGGGCCTGAGTTTCCCAAAGGGATGGGTGGAACAGGGTATGTGTATGGTGGTTCTCATGGCCTGTTAGCACTGTTATCCTGGGAATAAACACTTTAGTGTGGTGGGTTGGTTTATTCCTAGCAGCAGAGAGGGAATCATGGCATGTGCAGATGCCCTCCTTAGCTGGGGCAGTTGTTTGGCTGTTTGTGTTCCTGTTTGCCCAGCACCTCCCTCTGGAGTACGAGCGTTTAACAATCTGCTCCTGAGCTCGAGATATTTTTAGAGCTGTCTGTCACCCTGTGTTGTGGAGGAAGCACACTGCTGTCCAAGGTGGAGCTGTTTGCTTCACAGTAATATGAATGGAAAAGTGCAAGGGTGAGCCCTGATTCAGGCACGGATCCTGGCTCCCCAGAGACACATTCAGAGAGGAGTTGCCCAACACTGCTATGCCTCACTTGAAAGCTTGAATTTTTCACATCTGAGGCCTTGCTCCCTTGACTGATGTTTGCCTGTTTCTCCCCCGTGGGTGGTGCAGGCAATAGATGGGGGTCACTGGCTCTGTGCCACCAAAAGAGCCTCCAAACACACAGCTGCTTCTCCCCCTTGGGGAAGGTTGGCCACCCCATGCCTGAGCAGGAAGTTCAAACAGAAGCACAGAAATTCCTCAGTGATTTTGACAGCTAGCTAAAGGCAGAGAATTCAGCAGCAGGCAGCATCACAGTGTAAGGCCTGAGAGCTGGTTCAGGCAGATGCCTTCACATCTCGTGCTGTGGGTGCCGGGGCTCACCCTTGTCCATGGGCCACAGTCTGGCACTCTGCATGTCCCTCTCTTTCCCCTGGGCTTGTTGTCATTTTCACTGTGTTATCTATCAAATTTAGACCATCAGCTCCTCATGGCAGGGCACCTGCCTACTCCATGCACACCAGTGGCACTGTGTTAACGGTAATACGTGTATTTTCCCAGGATGCATTGCAGCAGAGGTTGGCTCAGCAGGACGCTTCAGTTCTTCAGCTAAAGCAGGAGCTGCTGAGAGCAAATATGGACAAGGAGGAATTGCACAACCAGAATGTGAGTCATTTGTGCTGCTAACTCAGACAGTGTCGCAGGTATTGGGGAGGGTGGCTGGGGATTGCAGGGTCTGAGACTACAGGGCAGAGCGCCCAGCGGTCACAGTGTGGGGCTGGTGGGCACTGTGTAGATCCATGAGCCGTGGGATAGATGGAGCAGTGATCACTGGGCTATGCAGAGGAAACAGTGCAGTGGAAGCCCAGTGGCCTATAGTCAGACTCACTGGAATCTCCTGCTCCTCCCTCTGCTTATTGGGGTCCCTCTTCTTCTCCCCCATCCTCCAAAGGCCCTCCTCATTGGTTGAAACGGAGGAAAGCTTTGCATTATATTTTCATTATAACTGGGCTAAAACTGCAGTGTTCCCTTCATCTCTGTTCCACGTGTTAAAGGCAAGTGACGTTTGGCAGACAGAGCATGTGTGTGTAGAATCAGCATTGAGGAGGCAGCAGCGGTGAAGGAGGGGCCAGCGCATTTGCCATATCCAGGGGAACAGCTTACTGCCCCGAATCTGTGCATGTAACTTCATTGCTGCTAACCTCAGGCTGTATTACTCTCTGCACATACGCCCCACAGCAGCCTTTATCACACAAGGGTGAGGAGAGGACTGTGTCGATGGATGCACTGGATCTCCTGAGATACAAACCTCCCTTTTGTTTCTGCAGGTTGATCTGCAGAGGAAGGTTGAAGAGAGGAACAGACTCCTGGGAGAATACAAAGTAAGAGGCTCTCCCAGCCCAGCCATGTGGAGATTGGGAGAGCCCTGGAAACATTCTTCCTGTAGGGCTCTTGCCCTTCCTGTGCTTCGTGCTCTGTCACCCCCGTGGATTGTCACTGTGAATAAATAGCAATAACAAGAGATCTCTGTGACGTCCTTTGGAATATGGCTGCTCAGGTTAAGAAGGACTGTGCCATAGCCCAGAGTGTTTTTCACAGTGATCATCGGGTTACTTTGGCATCAGCCGTGTGCACTTGAGTGCACCACGCTCACCCACAAACCTACTGCCCATCGCATCTGTGTCATTAAATTATCCTCAGGGCCTTACATGAATCCTGGGCCTATAGGTCAGCTGTGCTGCTGGCCTCAGTGCTGAGCCTGTGGCTTGTCTGTAGCCCAGGGTAGTGGGGGCCTGACTGACCCTTTCAAACAAGGCCTTAAAGTACCGTTAGAACATGGGGTTTAAGGCAGATAGGCTGTGCCAGCTTTAACCCTTCCCTGCTCCTGAGGAAGGTGAAGATGAGCCTTCATCACCTGCTCATACACTGATGCCCCCAATCCCTCTGGGTTGCAGAAGGAGCTGGGCCAGAAGGATCGACACTTACAGCAGCACCAGGCCAAGCTAGACGAAATGCTCCGTCAGCTCTCCGAGGCCAGCTACCAGCAGGTACAGAGCCCGCCAACATGCCCTGCTCTTGAGAAGCTGGTGCCAGCCTGGTCAGCTCAGTTCATACTGACTTGTCTGTTCCCTTTGCAGGCAGATTTGGAGCAGGAGCTGGAGCACAAGGAGGCCCTGCTGGCTCAGTGCATGAAGAGAGAGACAGAAGAGGTGAGTGGGGCATTAGTACTTGGAAGACATCAGGCTCTTGGAATGCAGTTCTCTGCCTGACATTATGTAATGTGCAGCTAGAGTCCAGTGCCAAGCTCCCCTGGGCGCCCCCTCTGTCCCAGAGAGGCCAGGCTCCATGGAACATCACAGCTGGAGCTTCTGGGAGGGGCTGCTCTCTGCTGCAGGTCTTCTGGGAAAGTTCAGACCTATTCAACTTCCCCCATCAACCTGACAAGGGGTGAAGTCCAGTGGTCTGAGCACAGGATGGGGAAACAGGAATTCCTGGGTTCTAATTCCAGCCCTGACACTGACTCCCTCCGTGACGTTGCGGCAAGTCACTGCCCATCTCTGCCTCAGTTTCCCCATCTGCAAAATGAGAATTTTGCCTAGGTTCCAGGGGTGTGTGGGTTCTGTAGTGAATGTATGTACCTTGCAGAATGCTGCTGGCAATGGGGCTGTATTGTTGGTGCAGTTGCTTTCCCTGCCCTCTCACAAATCTGAAGTTGGCACCTTGGAATCTTCTTCCGGGAAGTTCAGAAACTTGCTGTACCCTCTGTTAAAGTGTCTTCTCCTTGCAACAGGTGATGGGCTACAGCAATCACAGCACTCAGAGCAACGGCTTCCTCCAGACAGCAGGAAAAGGAGCTGCTCCCACAGCCCACAGAGTGGTAGGTACCCTGCTGCTTAGCCGGAGCCAGCTCAGGACTCCAGTCAGCATCTGGAATGGGTTCCCTAGGGAGGTGGTGGAATCTCCTTCCTTAGCGGTTTTTAAGGTCCGGCTTGACAAAGCCCTGGCTGGGATGATTTAGTTGGGGATTGGTCCTGCTTTGAGCAGGGGGTTGGACTAGATGACCTCCTGAGGTCCCTTCCAACCCTATGATCCTTCCCTCTGCAGCTGCCAGCCTGTAAGGGAAAGTGCAGGCCCCTGAGGGTCCCTTGGGCCTGGGAGAAGTGCAGCGCCCGGAGGGAGGGAGGTTACAGTGAGGCTCTGAATCCCTGCATTGGCTGACTTCTCCTGGTCTCTTGGGCAGACGAACGACCTGCAGTTGGTGCGTGATGCCCTCCGCAGCTTGCGGAACAGTTTCAGCGGCCACGACCCGCAGCACCACACCATCGACAGCCTGGAACAAGGCATCTCCAGCCTGATGGAGAGATTGCACCGCATGGAGACGCAGAAGAGGCAAGAGAGAAGGGTAAACATTCCCCACTGGGCTTGGCTTCATACCTCCACCTCCTCTTACTGACCAGAGCTAGCAACCAGGGAGTGCAGTGCTCCATCCCCTCACATCTCTCCCTGCAGTGTGCTGATCATGTGGTCACTCTGCTCACTGAATCCTAAAGAAGCCTAGATTGTGGCAGATGGAGGGTCCCTAAGGATCCCAGCCAGCCCTGGGGGAACCTATGGGGTGTAGCAAATGATGCTTCATTACTGTACCTCACATCTCTGCTCTCACTGCCTCTCACTGGAGGCCTAATGCTAAGATGTGCCTCTTATATTACTGAGAAGCAGTCATCTAGTCCAGTGGTTCTCAACCAGGGGTACGCGTACCCCTGGTGGTACCCAGAGGTCTTCCAGGGGGTGCATCAACTCATCTAGATATTTGCCTAGTTTTACAACAGGCTACAGAAAAAGCACTAGCAAAGTCAGTAGAAACTAAAATTTCATACAGACAATGACTTGTTTATATTGCTCTATATGCTATACACTGAAATGTAAGTACAATATTTATATTCCAATTTATTTATGTTTTAATTGTATACTAAACATGAGAACGTACGCAATTTTTCAGTACTAGTGTGCTGTGACACTTTGTTGTTTTTATGTCTGATTTTGTAGGCAAGTAGTTTTTAAGTGAGGTGAAACTTGGGGGGACACAAGACAAATCAGACTCCTCAAAGGGGTACAGTAGTCAGGAAAGGTTGAGAGCCACTGATCTACTCAAGTAGTTGGAACAGGGGCCTGTAAGTCAGGACTCTTGGGTTCTGTTCCTGGTTCTGTCACTGACTTGCTGTGTGACCTTAGGTAAGTCATTTCACCTCTTCCCTCCCACTGGGGGCCGTGAGGATTAATTGGTTAACATTTGCAGAGTGCTGTGAAGCTTGTGTGGGCAAAGAGCTGTTACTAAGCCACCATGGGCTGTCATTGCTGCTGCCTGGGCTCTGTTGTGCTGCCCATTAGGCCTGACGGTGGTATCTGGAAGCAGACACTTGCTGGCCTTATAACTACACAGGGTTAGTTTGTCTCTGTCTGGAAGCAGGGCCGTGTTAGCGGTTTTAATCAGTCCAACCCATCTGTTGTTTCTTCGTTGGGGTCTATTTCATGTCTGCAAAAAGTGTGGCAGAGTGAAAAAGTTAACAATGACATTCAAAGTCCAGGCGAACCTGACTCCAGAGTCTATGCTCTGACTGTTGTTCTCTAAGGGCTGTCCATCCCTACAGGCCATGCTGACCCTCAGTAGGGGTTGTAGATGGTGGCACTTTGCATCTCTGGGCTGTGGGAAATCTGAGCTCCTAGTATCTTGGGAGAAAATAGTCATTCACGTTGGTTACATTTAAATGCCATATCCTGCAGCAGGGGTCTGGGTGAAAATCTGTATGTATTGGGGGTCTCTGTGTGTCCGTGTTGGGGGGAGTCTTGGGTGTAGATCTGGTTGTGTGTGTCTGGGTAGGTCTGGTTGCTAGGGTGTGTGTGTGTGTGTGTGTGTGTGTGTGTAAGAAGAAGATCCTCTTAAACTGTTTCATGACATTTTCCTTCCCTGGTCAGTTTGCTTGCACCACTGGAGGCCCTGGGAACTGACCCTTTGTCCTCGCTCTCTTGGCTTTCCCCGTAGGTTCAAGGGAAGTCGCCCGCAAGCCGAGCAGCGAATGAGTATCGAGACTCCTGGCCTCCCAACTCCAGTGAGTGCATTTCAGCTCTATCGCTCCAAAAACTGGCTTCACGGCTCAGAGGTTTCCTGGACAGAGTCCACTGCACAGTGTCCCTCCTGGGAAGCAGAACTGGCTGGCCTCTCACTCCATTGCTCATTGCTGTAGCATTTCTCCTGGGCCATTTGCTTCATAGACTAAGCTTCAGTGCAAGGGGCTGTGGGTAGGCAGAATAGGAGCTTGATCCTGACTGGAATCCCTGGGCACTACCACAATATAAATAATAGTAATTACTCCTTGGATTCAGGGGGAAATGCCATGTTCTCTCAGACCCCTTAAGGATTATTGTTGGCTGCATTGGGTGCTTGCACCACCTAGTGGCCATGAGTACCATCCCTTAGGCCGGGGTTTAATGTGTACACCGTAGCGCAGGATTTCCCCTCACTGCATTTGCCTGACTTGAGAGCAGCGATAGTTTCCTCTTCATCATGGGAACTGCTTTTCTGGGGTCGGTTGTAAATATAACCTGAGAAATCCATTGGTTTGTATAGACTGAATTCTCAAAGTGACAGTGAGGAGTCGGCCCGTTGGTGTTGGGGACAAATAGAGAGCCCCACTTTTTAACTACATTGCAGTGCTCAGCACCAGGAGGATTTTAGGGAGATGTTAGCAAAGGAATTAAGGACACTTAGTATCTGGAGGAAGAGCCCGACATGGGTTCTGCTGAGAAGTCACCTGGGTTGCCTTTTCTCTTTTCTCTAAAGCTGCAATTCGTGCGGCAGCCTCCATGTCACCAGCCTAATGCATGCAAAACATGCCTCACCCGCCACCTCCCAAAGCCCCTGCAGGCACCTTCCCCTCCACTGCAGCAGTCAATTTATTCAGGCTCTAGTGGACCACAAACCCAGATCTGCTTGGGTGTAAAGAGCTCAAAGTGATGGCTCTAGATTCATTAAGCCAGAAAGCCCTTATGATTGATGTCCAGATCTGCAGTTCACTTTCTTTGTGTACACGTTGTGAAGGTCAAAAACCAGAGAGGGTCTCACTGTGTAAACCTTCCCCTGCCTAGGCCTTTGGCATAGCCACACCTGTATTGCGGGAATGGGGAGGGTAATGGTGCAGTCAGAAAGAGAGATGCACATATTAACAAAGAGAAACCCACCACGCGCACAGACACCTCCCTAGTCTATGTAATAAGGGCAGAAGGGCAGGTGACTGGGTCTGTTGCGCCTTTCTGAGTTAGTAGGGCTGAGCCGACATGACCTCTTGTCCTGTAGGTGTCAGTCAATTATTGCTCCCCCTTTTCTGTCAGTGAAGACAAGCAGAATGATAATCACTTATACTGAGCTGCTAGAAGGGGGGTCACTCATGGGATGATTCTCCTAGAATGGGCTGGAATTCTCCAGTCACTACAAAGACAGCAGGCAAAATATCTGTAGTGCAGGTGGTGTGCTGTATGCACTGTGTGCATTGGGCTGTGTCTCATCATCCCCTAGGGTGGCAGTAGGGTGGCCCTTCAGGCTAACATTGTAATACTCACCTTGCAGTGCATTGTCTTCCTGTAAGAGGGCAAGATCCTGCCCTTGTGGGCGGATGGACTTAATCATCTAATAGGTCTTTCCCATCTCTGGGTCTCTACTCCTCTGCTGAAATGATGCTGAGAATGCCTCTAGGGGAACAGGGTGGGAAAGAAAACTGTGCTCTCCCTTGGCTGCAGTGACAGTACTTTGTGTTTCTCTCTTTGCAGAATTGCCTCATTCTCACAGCACACCCACTATGAGCAGCAGTGCCTGCACCAAAGTGCTCTACTTCACTGATCGCTCACTCACACCTTTCATGGTCAATATACCAAAGAGGTGAGACCTGGCTTTGCCACACTAATAGAGTTTGGTTCACTGAAAGCACTGATCTAATCCATGGTACTTCTACCCACCAAAACATGCTCTCCATCCCTTAAATCCGGCTTTTGACTGTATTTCATTGCAAAGAGGAAGTGGTGACAAGAAAGCAGACCCACGATATGTGTATTTTTCACTTTAGGCCTGACCGGATTTCCCAGCTGATGCATATATAATTAGCTTATTTATTTAAAGCCCCAGAAGATTGATCTCTGGTTTTATGAGTGGGCAGCAGCCAGATTTACTCCAGCACAACACGAACCATTTAGTGCAAGACTCTCCATCTGAAATAGCAGCTATCGCAGTCAGTGCAAAAAAGAAACATGAAAGAGTTGGTTTGGATTTGTTTTCAGTAAATAACAGACACTATTCTATCTGTGATCAGATGCTTTGGGTTGTACCGGGTATTTTCCAGGCACTCTGGCTCACCTCAGTGTGCTGCTGTCCATTGTGCCACATGGTATCCATGCTGGGGCTAGTGTTCAGTGTGCCCTATTACAAGCTGTGTCCAAGCACTAGATCTCAATCCCATGGCAGAATCTGCCAGCGAGGATAGCTCTTAACTCCTCTTTTGCAGGTTAGGTGAGGTGACTCTGAAGGACTTCAAGGCAGCTATCGATCGGGAAGGAACCCACCGGTACCATTTCAAAGCCCTAGATCCAGAATTTGGCACAGTCAAGGAGGAGGTATGTTTGTCCTCTTTAGTAGCAGCTCTCTCATAATCTAAGTTTGTGTGTGGTGTCACAGCACCAGCAACAGCCTGGAAATTTCTGACACATTCACTTTCCATGTGAGCGAAATCTCTAACTTGCTACAGAGCTACAGTTTAAGGGATGACAGCCCCCAAGGAAGGAGCCAAAAAGGGACATCTTCAGTCCCACCCAGAGCACTGACTTTAGTGTGATCACAAAGGTGCACAAGTGGTGGATGGTGATTTGCAGGGTCCCTCCTTCACTGTGCCAGCTGCTCCCGGGGACACTTCCTATGACAGCACCATTTGGGAGATGCAGATTCCAAGTCATACCTCTAAAACGGGGTGGGGAACCTTTTTTCTATCAGGGGCCGTTGACCCACAGAAAAAAACAGTCACAGAAAAAAACACTTCCTTCTCCCCACAGTAACCCTAAATGATGCCCTTCCCCAAAAAATTTTTGTTAAGACACATCAGTGCCAGTTTCTCCAGAGATGGTCTAATGTTCTGAGCACTGGAGTTCCCAAGCTTTAATCCTGGCTCTGATACTGCCTCCCTGTGTGACCTTGGGCAAATCATGACCCCTCTCTGTATCTCACTTTGCCTGTCAGAAAAATGGGGATAATAATCCTTGTTTTTTCTCTATGGGGGAGGAATAGGCAGCCATACTGTTGTTTTTAAAGCATGTTGGGAACTTAACGTGCTATTTAAGTGCCAGTTATTTTTATTATTTGGTTTAATTCCTCCATCTCTCGTGCCACTCAGATGTAACAAAGCGGTGTCCATCCTCCGGAAGTGACCTGATTCTCTCTCTGCCCTTTTATAGGTGTTCCATGATGATGACATCATTCCTGGTTGGGAGGGGAAAATCGTAGCCTGGGTGGAAGAGGATCATGGGGAAAATTAATCAGACTCTTGGGTCTTGTTATTGTGGGAACCTGTAACGCTGCAATGCTCAGAGATAATGACCAAAAAGAGTGTGAGCTGGGACATGTCCAATTCAAGCTGCCAAAAGAGAGGACTTCTCTGCAACCAACGGGTAAAACACTTTTTTGTGTGCGAGGATGCCTGGCATTTAACTTTCCCTGGCCAAATGCAGACAGTGTTGTGAGACTGAAATTACAGGTTGGTGGGAAAGAATCATCTTGCTTTGTCCTGTCAACAAAACCCTGGAGGCCTTATTGATGTGTTTCTCCATTCTCCTGGTTCCCCCACCCCCTGAAATGCCTGCTGCTGTTTGTAAACTGCACATTTCAACTCTGATTTGACACATTCAGTATTATATGAACCTGCAATGATCCCTGAAACAATAAGTTCTGCCCTCATGGACCAGAAAATGCTGCTAGATTCTAGTTTTTACCAGAAGATCTGACCAACCAAAATCCACGCCCAGAGAATTTGTGCTGAAGAGGCAGAGCTCCCTCCAGTGAACTTTGCAAGCTCTTGATACCAAGAGCACCAGGAACCTGACAGTGAAAGAAGCTTGTGGACTGTGCTAAGCACTACCAAAGCAAAGACCACCAGGCTGGCAACGTTGTCTTTCTTCCCAAATGCAGGCTTCCACTTCCTAGACTTGTTTCTGCTGTTTGCCCTCCAACTTGCAATCAGGTCTGAGCTCTGTTGCCCTGGGAAGTTGGAACTCTTTGGTAACCAGGTGCTTACTTAACTGCCAATGGATTTTTATTTTGGGGAAGGGAGCAGGAAACTTCCTAGCTTCCCCACAGGGGTGATAAGGTACTTTTGCTTCTCCTTTTGCCAGCCCTTTCTCTATAGCCATTACCATCCCTGCCCTTTCCATACATCCAGCAAGGCCAACAGAAAATCTAATCTACTCTCCCAGGAAACAAGCAGGAATGTTTCTTCAGGGATGAAGTGACAGAGTCTGTTCTATTGGTGCATCTGTATTCCTTCTTCCAACTTTCTCTGTGCAGGCATCACCATGTACTTGATGTTCACTGACTGACAAGGCCATTAAGCAAATAACCAAACTGGTAGGATAGTTATTGTGAGCAGCAGTACCCCAATTCCCAGCATGCTTTTGTCTCTGGCACCTAATGGAGTAGAAAATGGTCAGTTGGGAGAGCATTAATGAGATCCATTAGGGTGTGTCTGCACTGCAATAAAACATCCATGGCTGGCCCATGTCAGCTGACTCGAGCTTATGAGGCTATAAATTTGCAAGATAGATGTTCAAGTTGGGCTGGAGCTTTGGGACCCTGCAAAGCGGGAAGGTCCCAGAATCCAGGCACCAGCCCGAGCCCAAACATCTACACTGCAATTTTATAACCCTGCAGCCCGAGCTCAAGTCAGCTGATACAAGCCAACCATGGTTTTCTTTCTTGCAGTGTAGACATACACTTAGGGACCCAGGTTTTCTCACTGCAGTGCCAGGCCCTGCTGTCACTGTCAGGCAGCCAGACTTCTGCAAAGCTGGCCGCAGTCTGCAGCAGACAGGCACTGTTGACTGAAAAGGTCAAACAGTGAGTCAAGCCTCGGTCTGTTCATCTTTGGTACACGTGCCCCATCATTGGACTGCCTGCTTGTCTGAGTTGTGCAGGTGAGGCTGGGAGAACTTGGTTTTATTATTTTATATTAACGTGACCTTTTGTAAACTTGTTCCTGTTTTTTGGAATTATTTTGTACCAGTTTACATCATTGTCTGAGGTGTATATTTTTATACCAGTGCAAGTGCTTTCTGTATATTTCCACAATACTGTGCTGTAGTTTACTCATTTTCTAGAGAATGTCAATATGTTTTATACAGTCTCCTGTTAACACCATGCAAAGTGGGGTCCATGACTAGCTTTATTTTACTACAAAGTACAACTAGTTCCAACTGTTTTTATATTTTGCCAGCTGTTTCTTGTATAGACAGGAATTACGTGTAGTTTGTCTTGTCCCTCCCTTTATTGCAGGAGGAGCTCAAATACCTTTCTGACCCCATTCCTGCACTGGTAGAACACGTGTTGGCTGTTAGGCCACTATTGATCAGTTCCATTTCATCGGCTGATTTACACGCACTCTTTCTCTTCACAAACAGCTGTCGAAACATCAGCATTTAGGAAAGTTCTTCAATGGGAGAAAAGCAGTATCAGTCCTGAAAAGAAACAGAAGTTCTCTTCCTCCCTGGAAATCACTGGTTTCTCTGTTGCATGTGTTTTAGTGCGTTGCTATAAGACAGCATGGGGTTATCATACTAAAATGCATTGTTGTATTTCAGTTGCAATTTATCTTGAATGTCTTTTAATTCAAGTTTTACTAGTCGGAGTTGTGCGCTTTAGGTAGGACTTATCCATTTTATGGAAACAATTAAAACAGTAATTTTTCAAAGGCCTCCATGGATCCGTCCTGTATCCCTCTCTGCTTTTAAGAGATGAGCAGGGTTTAAGAGTTGTCTTTGGTGACTCAATGGCTGAGGTAATTGCTAATGCGATAGAACTTCTCACCTGTAGGTCATAGGTTTCAGTCCAGTCTCACTCAGTCGTGACCCTGGTCACCACCCGAGCAATGGCTGGTTGATGGCCTAGGTGGAATGAGTTGGGAATCTGTCCTGTTCCTAGTGGTTCCACATCCCCATAACCACTGTCACCATTGAAATGCCTGTTAGCAGTCTCAACAGAGGGGCCAAGGACTGAATCAGCCCTGGAGCCACTTACTGTCTTATGTTCCCTTCAGGGCCGGAGCGAAGTACATTTGGAGGAGGCACAGAGAAGGAAACTTGCATTGCCACTGCCCGTGCGTATTCTGGGGATAAAGATTTCATTCTGTAGCACTATCAGCCAAGCACCCTTCATCAGTGCTAAAACCACATACAAACTAGAACAGAAACCTGGTTCCCTCTGTGATAATTACTGTACTGAGTTCAAACCCTTGAAAAGTATTGGCAGCACTCTGCCCTCGGATACGCACATCCAACTCCCACAGAAATCACTGGGACTTGTGTGAGAGAGCCTGAGGACAGAACTATTAGTACTTCTAACATTAAAATTGAAGGCCATGGCCATGCCTTGTTCTCCTCCCAGGATTGCTCCCCTAGGCTCTAACACATGCACAACTCAGGTTCAGCTTTGTTCCTGCAATGACATGGCAGTTTTCTCTTGACTTCCTGTCATTGTATGAATGAGCAGAAAGGAGTATGGGTTAGGTCAGGGAAAGTTATTCACAAAATAAAGAGGGACAAGACAATCCTGGAAAAGAGTAGGTACAAACGGGGCCAGATTCTCCTTTCACTTATACCAGTTTTACTCTAGTCTAACACCATTGGCTTAAATGGATTTACTCCTGATTTAGAGCAGGGCATATGGGATCAGAATCCGGCCTTGGACTTGGTTTAAATGTTTTCCTTTGATTCTATAAATGTTTATTTCTGCCCTACTTTCTTCAAAGCTACTTTCTGGTTTCCTTATAATTGTAACTTGATTATTTAACACACATGCTATATGTAAAGTTATATTTTCCTAGAAACTCTAAAGTTTGCATTCATCACTTTTTAAAAGGACAGTTACTCTCAATCTCCAGGTCCTCCAACAGAGTGAGAAGTGAGGTTTATCTGTACATCTAAGAGCTGTATATATCTGACTGGATGTACTTTGGATTTGTGGACCAAGAAAAAATCATCTCAATAAACTGTAGTTTGCAAATGGAGTCTGATCAATCCATTTGGGTGGGGAGGGAGGTTCCTTTGAACTGAAGCTTCTAATACGTTGACAGGCATGCAATGCTCATGTGTATGGGTGTGTTGGCTAGGTAGTAGGAACAGAATACACAGCAGAGGACACCATCTTGCACTGGAACTGAGTAAAGGGACTGTTCCATTTGGCTTCTAAAATCTTCAAAGACAGCAGGAAAGCTCAGAGACTGAACCTCACTTTGAAAAGAAGATTTGGATCCATGCACATTAAACAGCAAACAGTTCTGGGCTGGTCAACTGCTTGCAAGATTTGTATTTATTTTTAAATACAAGTGAGCTTTTGAGATATTTTAAAACTACAACTAACCCCTGACCCAGACCATACTGCTCATACAATTTAAAATGAAATGCAATAGCTTTTGGGCTCAGTTAACTCAGATTTACGAGCAAATATCACTGCAGCCACAGACTCTCATGTTTATGCATTCAGGTGCAGTGGCTGGGTTTGCTGATGGTGATGGCACAGTAGAGGCAAGTCCTGTGTGCTGAAAACAGCTCTTGCTAAATCATTTAAAAACCCTGAAGCAGTAGTGATAAGGACAAGAATACTTTGCATATATATAGTACCTGCCAACCAAGGATTTCAAAGCACTTTATAGATATTAATGAAGCCTCTCAATCCTCGTGGGGAAATGTCAGTATTGCTAAGGATAGCTGATGGGTTGGAACATTTTACTGATGGGGAAACTGAGGCAAAGATACACCCTGAACAAGACAAATTAAGACCCTGATGCTGAAACCTGTGTGTGAGCCCCACTGAAGTCAATCATGCTCTGTATGATCTTGGGAGTTCAGATGCAGAAATTGGGGCCTATAGCTCAATTAATTCTGGGACACAGATGTATGTTATGGGAGACTCAAACCTGGCACTATTTCTGGGGTTGAGGGGCCTGCGGCTGTGGGCCTAACCAGAATTGACATACAGGTTTGGCTGTGCTCTAAAGCCTATTTTCCCAGCTGGGGAACAGCCTCATGCCTCACTTGGAAGGTGATGACAAGGCCCAGCTTTTGTACTACGTAACTCCCTCCCACCTAGGGCGTTCCGTGGGTCTGCATGAGTTTAAATCAGTGTGGCATTTTCCCTTCATCGATTCATACAAGAATGACAACATCTGCCTATGTGCCATCATAAAGGGAGTTCCATTCCCCCGAGGGACAGCACAACGGCAACTTCGAGGCGCTAGGGTGACAGCTGCAGGAGGATGCACTGAACGTAATCTGGGTTCGGTATTTACCTGCCTGTGTTTAACCTTCCACTTCCCCAGTGCCCATCTCGGCACCAGGGCCTCTAACAGGTATGGGAGTGAATAGCACAGAAGAGGGTGTGGGGCTAGAGACCCCCAAGTCCCTGTGATTCCTCCCTGCCCCTAATCCCACCATCCAATCCTTTGTTCTCCTATCCCACGCACCCTATCCCCCTACTCTCCTCTAGCCAATTACTCCCCCAATCTGCACCTAATGTCCCCACTCCCCTATAATACAACCCCAGACTCCCATGCTCCACAGACCCAGTGGTTCCCCATCCACTCCCCAACCTGCCCCCGGACCTCCCCTGCTTCCCATCCATCCCCACCCTACCCCTAGGGACCCCTGCTCCCCCATCCTGTCCCCAGGTCCCCCATCCATCCCCACCCTGCCTCCAGACCTCCCCTGTTCCCCTCCTGCCCCCAGACCTCCCCTACTCCCCCATCAGTCCCCACCCTACCCCTAGGGACTCCTGCTCCCCCATCCTGCCCCCAGGTCCCTCTGTTCCCCCATCCATCCCCACCCTGCCCCCAGACCTCCCCTACTCCCCCATCAATCCCCACCCTACCCCTAAGGACCCCTTCTCCCCCACCTTGCTCCCATGTCCACCCCCAGACCTCCTCGCACCCAGATCTCTCGCCCTGTCTCCTGGGCGCTGTCCTCCCAGCCAGCCCCTCGCTCCGGCTGCTGTCCCGCCCCCCCCGCTTCCCACTCTGCTTTGTGGCTCTTCGCGACACTGTCGCAGCCGCTGCTGCCGTAAAGCGCGGTGGGCGCCCGCAGTCCGGAGGGGAGCGAGGTCATTGCCGGAGCCGCTGGCGGGGCCCGGCTTCACAGCAGCATGTGGCGCGTGTTCGCGCGGCGGCTCGCCCCGTGCGCGGCCCCGCGGCGAGTGCCCGGCGCGGCGGGCGCGAGCCCGGCCCGGGGGGCCCGCGCCCTGAGTGGAGGGAGCCTGGGGGCCGCGCAGCCCCCGCCGGGCCGGAGCGGCCCGGGCCCCCGGCCCGCGGGGCGGCTGCTGTTGCTGAGGGAGCCCTGGCCCCGCCTCGTCCCCCGGCGGTGGTGCAGCCTCCCGCCGCACCAGAAGGTGAGGGGCCCGGGGGCGCGAGGAACCGGCCCTGGTGCCCCATGAGCGGGGCCCGCCTGGCCGGGGCACCCGGACACCCCCCCCCACCCGGGACCCTGACCCCCAGAGCCGGGGGCTGCGGGTGCCGCCCCCAGCCGGAGCCGCCCGAGCCGCAGGGTCACCCCCTTTCTCTTCCCCAGCTCCCTGGGACCGTGCCCACCCGACCCCACAGCCGCGGGGGGGGGCAGGATGGGGGACCCCCCTGCAAAGCCCCCGTGAGATGGAAACAGCCCCAGCCCAGCCCCCCCTCTCTCAGACTCGCTGGCCGGGCCCTTCTCCCGTTCCTAGGCCCCCGAACCCGCAGGCTGTGACCCCGGCCACCCCTAGAGCCCACTGGCCGATAGCCCGGTCATCTGCTGCCGAGCTGGGATTTGCCCTTGTCTCCGTGCCCCTTCCCCACCCGCTCCAGTGTGCGCCAGTCGGTAGCTGCCCTTTAGAGCTCAAGCGGGCGAGCAGTTCCCCCGGAGTCAGTCTGAGTCACGAAGCACCTTGGGACGAAGGGCTCTGAATAAACGTGAGACTATTATTGCACGAGCCTTATGGCCGTTTTATTGTTGACACCTTGACTGTTTCTGGATTCAAGCGCATTGACTGGCCTCTCGCCTCTCTTGGTGGAAGGTGTTCTAGGGTCCCTTGCGCTATGGCTGGGTTGTTCTTTTGCAGGTGCCTTTGCCGGCTCTTTCCCCTACAATGCAGATGGGGACTATCGCTCGGTGGGAGAAGAAGGAAGGGGAGAAGATCAGCGAGGGAGATCTGATTGCAGAGGTACTGTGGAGAGGTTGCCCCTAACCAGGATGACCCCAGTTATGGGGTACCAAGGGCCAGTTCTTCTGGGGGGGCCTCCCCTTGGGCCTCTCATTTTCTGGTGGGGTGGGAAGCTGCACCATAACCAGAGGACGAGGCAGGCTATAGTCTCTAAAATTGTCCCCGTACTAAGTGCATGCCCTGGATTTTGTTACAAGTCACCCCAAACGGGCATAAATGTTCTTTCCTCACCCTTAGCCATTATCTCTGATTCAGCATTGGAAGGTTGACTCCTGCCTCTGATCAGCCCATAATGCCAGCTTCCATTACCCACTTGTTAAATTTTCAAACAAGCACCTTTGTACTTTCTCCTGTGCTGCCCCTCAGGCTTTGGAGAAGCTCCCCATAAACATCCACAAAACTAACTCATTTTCTGCCTTCAGATTTCTTCTTAAAATTCTCATTTGCTGTGAGGGCTACATAAAATTTGACCACAGATAGGCTGCTGGTGGGCTGAGACCACAGCCTGTCATGCGGATATATTGTGTCATTGTTTCCTTGTACTTCTCTGTCAGTCTGTCTATCCATTTGGTCCCTCTCATGCTTAGATTGTAAGTTATCTGGGGCAGGGACCCTCTTTGTGTTTTGTGTGTGTACAGCACCTAGCACAGCGGTGTCCTGATCAATGTTTGGGGCTCCTAGGTACTGTGAAATACAGATAATAAAAATTAATATTAATCTTTTGAAGCCACTTTATTGAAGTGATTAAAAACAGCCACAACCCCACTACCCCTCAGAGTTGCCTGCTGTTTCTTAGCTACTTGTGAGAGGGATTGAACCTCATTTGTTCTACAGTCTCTCTTCCCTTTCAGCCAAGTTGCTGCTGTCAGCTGAGATGATTCTCACCATGGCTTTATATGCCAGGGAGCTTCACCCACAAACATCAGACTAGAGGATTCTGAGCTGATGTGAAGCCTTCTTTGTGTGTCTGTGTCTGTGTCCCCATAACAAGATCGTTCTCTGTTTGCAAAGGTGGAAACAGACAAAGCGACTGTGGGGTTTGAGAGTCTGGAAGAATGTTACTTGGCCAAGATCCTGGTGGCAGAAGGGACGAGGGATGTTCCCATTGGGTCTGTAATATGTATCACAGTTGAAAAGTAAGTAAATCGATCACATCTCAGTAGAGTGCTGTCTTGGGAACCTGGCGGTTTGGGTGCCCTGGATGAAGCATTAGGCATGTTATCTTCCATGTTGTCTTCATGGCTCCTTTCGCTCCTCTTCTAGGCCTGAGTTTATTGATGCCTTTAAGAATTTTACCTTGGATTCTGCAGCATCTGCTGCTCCAGCAGCCTCAGTGCCTCCCCCTTCAGCGGCAGCTCCCCCACCACCAGCTCAGCCCTCTGTGCAGGCTCCAGGCAGCTCCTACCCTCCTCACATGCAGGTAGGGCATGTACATACCCTCAGTGAATTATTCTTCAGTGTCTGTCTTCTGTCTGTCTAACACTATTAACTCCTGGGCACTGTGATGTAGATACAAACCATGGGCCTTATTAGCTCTCGCTGCAGGAGTGTGTCAGTCGATCTATCTTACAGATTTAAAATGGGCTTCGGAGGGGGGGGACCCCAATCAGTTAAGCTTTGAAAACAGTTGTGCATGGTTAGTTCTAATGTGGTTAGATGCTGAGGTATCTCTGTGACTGCCTAGTACTACTACAGTATCCTATGTTTCTTTATCTTAAGTACTTGTATGGCCCCTTTGGTCTTGCAAAATTGTACACATCATTATTATTTCATGCATATCTAAAGTGCCTATCACTGTAGTACCTGACTGCTCTGAGGGCCAGGGTATGTCACTCCCAGCATAGCTCTTCCCATCCACCCTTTCGTTTTTCATAGCATTGTGTTAAGGAGTCAGATTCCAAATGGAGTTGGGGGAACCTCACCTGTTCTGGGAATTGGGAGTTTTATTTCTATTTCTGCCACTGACTTGCTGTGTGACCTCAGACAAGGCACTCCACTTATCTGTGTCTCAATTTCCCCATCACTTGGGCTCTACAGGTAAAAAGTGTTCTATACGTGCTAGGTGATGATTATTTACTAGCACTAAACAGGCAAAGCAGAATCCCAACAGGAAAATCCCTCAGTTGTTGCCTCTCAATTTTCTTCCTTAATTTAAGTCTTGTTTAAAGAAGCTAAACCAGAGATCTGGCAGCAGCAACATCGCACCCTGCTCCGTTGGGTTAGGCAGGCCCAGGAACATATTGGTGCTGGCTCATTCTCAAGGGTAACACGCTTGTTGGAGTTTGAAGTCATGCTCCTGTTCCTGTTGGCTTTCAGTTATCTGTTATGATACGCTTCCATTCTTTTGACTCCATAGGTTCTTCTCCCTGCTCTCTCGCCTACGATGACAATGGGCACGGTTCAGAGGTGGGAGAAGAAGGTTGGTGAGAAACTCAGTGAAGGAGACTTACTGGCAGAAATTGAAACGGACAAAGCCACGATAGGTGAGAAATCTCTAACCCTGAGAGGGACCATAGATTGTTCTATAACCTCTGGAGAGAGAGTGATCCACAGTAGAGCTTCAAACCAGCCTCTTCTCTTCCAGCTGCAAAGAGCAGTAGGCCTTGGTGCAATGTAAAAGAAGCAATTTAAAGCTATTTCCTGTCCTCTTGTAGTTCTAGGTGATGGAGCTGCTAATAGCAGCTCCCAGCTTTGCATCAGCCCTGTTGCGTTAGACCTGCGGTATGTGGAGACTTCTCCCCATTCAGTGTTGTTTTAAAGATCTGTTAAAAAGTGGCAGGGATTTAGTTACTGAGGGGAGACTGAAAGCATCATCTAGAAGAACTCTTCATTGTGCCAGTGTGTTGAGATTGTGAGACATCAATGCCAACCTTCTGGTTATTTGATCTTCCCCAGCATTCATCAGTCATTTTCTTTTAAGGCTTTGAAGTGCAGGAAGAAGGTTACCTGGCAAAAATTATGGTGTCTGAAGGAACAAGGGATGTGCCATTAGGAACCCCACTCTGTATCATTGTGGAGAAGGAGTCTGATATTCCAGCATTTGCTGACTACAGGGAGACCGGAGTAGCTGACATCAAACCACAAGCACCACTACCCAGTCCTCCCCCTCCGGTAAAGACTATCTCTGATGGGGAAGAGAAGTGGGGGGGACCATTAACAGTTGCTAATCTGACCTGAATAATCCTGCTGGTTTGGATCTTGTGAAGCTTGAACTCCAATAATGTGTTTGTGGTTTCATGAGTGGAAGGATAATGTGAGATGGATACAACCTGTTAGCACAAGCTAGTCTATCCTCTGGGAACTGATGGAGGTTGTTCCCTATGTCTGTAATTCAGGCCGCTGACCGTTCTAGTTTTAAATGCCCCAAATAGTCCTGCCATGAGGGCAGGGGACTGGACTCGATGACCTCTCGAGGTCCCTTCCAGTCCTAGCATCTATGAATCTATGAAATGATGGGGATACAAGTCACTTACTGCCCCTTCCTCTGGGAGATGATTCCACAACCTAATCAGTCGCTCTCCCAGAAAGTCATTCTGATAGACTAAATAATGTCATCTATTTCTCTGTACCTTCCTAAATAATTCTTCTCCCCCATACCTGTAGTATTATGTTGCCCACCTCTGATCCTCACTCTAGCCACAGTTCTGCTGATTTAGCTCTCATTCTCTTCCTTAATCTCCTAAATCAGCCCCTGATCACTTTTGTTGCTGATCTGTGAACATTCTCTAGTTGGTTTCTGGTAACCAGATGCCCATATTCTCTTTGCATGTTAAATCTCCTCATACTTATTAAGTGAAACTTTAAGACTTTAGCTGAATGTCTGTGCAGCTAATGACTGTGTCTAACCCATTCTCTTAAGGCAGCAGTTCCTCCTCCCCAGCCCACTGCCCCTTCAGCTCCAGCAGTCACATCACCTGGGGCTCCCCCACATAAAGGAAGGGTAATAATTAGCCCCCTGGCGAAGAAATTGGCAGCAGAAAGAGGAATTGACATTGTGCAGGTGAAAGGTGAGTTGCCATTTCCGTTCTTATCCAAGTCTCTGTTGCCCTTAGATATGTGCTGAGCTGTCCATTCCCTCGCAGTCCATCGAAAATGTTTTCCAGTCATGGATTACAGCCGAATGTCCAATTGCTGTGCTAAGTGACTGGGTTAGAAAGGGAGTGGGTTTCATTTTAACTTGCATTTTCCCAATATGGCATTGCGTGAAATCATCTTACATTTCACGTGTCCCTCCACCAGGTACTGGACCAGATGGCAGAATCACGAAGAAAGATATTGAGTCATTTGTGCCTCCAAAGGTTGTCCCTGTGAGTAGGACTGAAATCTCTGAGATCTTGTACTACCGCATTAGTAGTTGTTATGACAGAAGTGTAGAGCTACCTGCTGTTCTTTGGAAGCAGCTGAAGACTGCAACCAGCAGGTGAAGTACGGGCGTTCTGAAGACTGACAGTTGTGCTGGTGATTGGACAGTGTGGAATGTTGTATCTGAAAGTGTTGGGGAGTCAGCATGTGTAGGACTTCAGAAACGTGAGACAAGATGTTCTCCTTTTTTAATTTGTCACTTTGGAATTTTGCTGCAGAAGCACATCCTGCCTCTCCAGGTGTTTATATGGTCCCCATTACCATAGTAACAGAACAGCTGATGGAGTGGCGGAGCCTGGAGGAATGCAGCTTAGGAGGGGAAAATCAAAGGAAGTCCAATATTAAAAACTGAAAGTCTCCTGCAGTCATCCTTACTTTCCAATCATTGTCTGATGGAGTTCTGCTTTGTAGCTGTAACCTTATAGGCTGGTACCTATCACTAATATTTATTACCAGTCCTTAATTAGAATATAGTAGCTACAGATATCAATACCATATGTTTCATATACCCACAAACACCACATCATTATTAAGGCCTTAACATTTGGGTTTGTGAATCACTTAAAATGCATTAGGGTAGGAAGCTATAGGAGGGGAGTGCCTTCTGCTTATTAAAGAAGGTGACCTGGAAACGGGGAGAGTAGCCATGTTTCAGCCATCTGTTTTCCACCACAGCCTTATTCACAGGAGTTATCCCAAAGCTTGTCTCCGTAATGCTGATTTCTAGTTTCTTACAAACCCCAGCTCACATCTGAACAATGTCTGTCTGTGTCTCTCTTTGCATATAGGCCCAGGCAGCTCCTGTTGCACCTGCAGCTCCAACAGCAGCACCACCTCCTTCAGGCGTCTTCACAGATATCCCCATCAGTAATGTTCGGAGGGTAAGAGGTTTTCCTTCTTTCTCTCCCTTTAAAGAGGAGATTGTATTTACACATAGGAATCTTTCCAGAAACATTAAACATTTAACCACTGTTGACTAAGGTCGCTTTTAACCTGGAGGGCCAATTGGATGCTGAAGGGTAGGGAACCTGGTGGAAGAAGTGATTTAATAGCGCTGGCTTGAGCAAGGCATAGAACTGGCAGGTGTTGAGCAAGCTTCCCCCATGCAGCTTTGCTGATGCACCTCCATTCTGACCTGCGAGGTCTCTCCCTGTCCACAGCTTTGTCAATGCACCTCAGCCCTAGTCTGCAGCAACCCTTCTATCCCAGTTTGCACCTCGAGCAGAGACGGCCAATTGTGCCAAATCATGTCATGGTGGTTGATGTACCCCAAAAAAGGGACTAGGGTGAGATCCACCCACATCTCGAGAAATGAAAGTTGAAGCAAAATCCCACTCTCATTTTTACTGCTATTAGTGATTTATAGTAGGGTGACATGTCTCCATAACAGTTAGGACCAATGTCCCCAAAACTAAGATGCTTCCCAAATCACCATAACAAAGTTTTCCTCTGTCCCAGCCCATCTGTTCATCTCTCTGCTCCATCCAGCAAAAGCCTAGGAGAACACAAGGAGAGTAGGGGTATAAATTCTAGCTGTTTTAAAAATGCAAAATCCTTATATTGGACTTTTGGCTATTGTCTGCTGCTCAGTGGTCTTTATGTAGCAACTCCAAAGACACTTGGACCAAACCCAATTGTGCTATAATGTGTGCATCGAAGACAGTGGCGTGCATTGTCAGCCCTACTTTTAACTTGGATGGAAACCCATTTTGCAAAGTGTGTTGTGTTTTAATGACCTGCTCTGTTTCCCTTCAGGTCATTGCTCAGCGTTTGATGCAGTCTAAACAAACAATACCTCACTACTATCTATCTATTGATATAAATGTGGGAGAAATACTGGAGCTCAGGAAAGAACTTAATAAGGTAACACTCCTGAAGGGTTGTGGTGTGGGTCTGAGCGGACAGGGAGATAACCAGTATGGTGAGCCTCCTGCGTCTGTTCTTCAGTGTTGAGCCAGCTGCACTTGGGAAGAACGGGTTCCTTCGCATCCAAAGTTTGCTGCCTCCTGCTATTCAGGTCTTGACCCTCTTGTGACAGAGTGTGGAGAAGTCTTATTCATCCAAACACTGCCCATTGTGTGCTCAGAGTTCCCCAACCAGATCACATTGAATCCTAGACAACCTGCACAGCTTTCTTTTACTATTGTTGCCTCAGCTAGAAAATAGGATAAAGAGCAGGATCAAACCGTAAACAAGATGCTGCTTCTGAGCCGAGTTTTTTCTTTTCGAGAAATGAAGATAACACATATCCCAAAACTGAATGCTGCTTCTCAGACTACAAGGGGGGAGACGCAAATGTTAAATGGGCTTAAGACGCTTTCAGATGTTGTTTCCTCTTAGAGATGTGCCAGATTGACTGTGATAGGGTCACGCAGTAAGTGTAAACAGGCCGTGTAGTCTCGTGTTTATGCAAACTAATTCCGTTTTTGTGGTGACTATAAGGAGTGAGTAAATCACTGACGTTTCAAACTTCTGTCTTCTCTTTACAGGAGGTGTCAGAGAACGTTAAACTTTCTGTCAATGATTTCATCATTAAAGCTTCAGCTCTGGCATGTGTGAAGGTGCCTGAAGCCAATTCCTCATGGTTGGACACTGTTATCAGGCAGTAAGTATATGGTCCAAATGTAGCTAGTAACTTTATTCAGTATGGTGTTAATAGCAAAATGGAGCAATTCTCCCACGCTTTTGGCAGGATCTCATAAAGGCTGGAGGAATGGGAGCAGTTGCAGTGTAAAACTCAAGGGATTCTCAATACTTCATATACTTTTCTTCAAGTGCCTTTGTGAGTGAGGCCTGGGCACTAGATTTAATGGACTTGACAGTAACTACTTGTTTATACAAGGTGGCTTTAATGCTTTCAAAAAAATCTTTGTGTCCTGCTCAAGTAATCTGGGTTGTGTCTCCCTTGTGTCTTACAGAAATCATGTAGTGGATGTTAGCATTGCAGTGAGTACTCCTGCGGGGCTTATAACTCCCATCGTGTTCAATGCGCACATAAAGGGACTGGCTTCCATTAGTAAAGATGTTGCCTCTTTGGCAGCCAAAGCACGGGAAGGTAAACTTCAGCCCCACGAATTCCAGGTGAGGCGCTTGGTGTGTTAGTAATTACTGCAGCTGTGATTGTCCCCAACTTAAAAAAAAAAAAAATTCAACAATTTCATGACATATCAGTCAAATGACTGCTTCAGAACAGGAACTTTCAAGTCAATGATCTAATTTAGCCATGTTAATTAACATGCTGTGTGAAGTGACTTTTGGGAAGTTCCATATATTAATCTGCGTGTTTATTTCCTGTAGGGAGGCACTTTTACGGTTTCCAATTTAGGAATGTATGGGATTAAGAATTTCTCTGCCATAATCAATCCACCTCAGGCATGTATTCTGGCAGTTGGTACTTCAGAGAACAGGCTGGTGCCAGCAAATAATGAGAAGGGGTAAGTATTAAATAGAGCATTATCCAGATTCAGTTAACTCTTCAAACAGGTGACATTTACTTTAGAATAATGGCTAGTATTCTCATTTCCCCATCAAATGATCACTATTTTGCATATTGCACAGTGCAACTGTTGCGCTTCATGAGCTGCTTTTGATACATCATAATTTTAAATAAATTGTATAGGCAAATCTTATCAATCTGTTTTCAGTTTAGCTATGTTAGGTACTTATGTGGCTCCCATTGCCATATTATCCAACCATCTCACAATCGTTAATGTATTTCCCCACACAATGCCCCTGTGAGATAGGGAAGTCCTATTATCCTCATCTGTAAGATGGGGGCCTGAGGCACAGAGAGTAAATAATTTGCTCAAGGTCGCACAGGAATTGTGTGGCAGAGGAAGGAATTGAACCTTTGTCTCCTAAATCCTAGATTAGTGCCTTTCTCATGGGACCATATTTTGTTGGTAAATTTTGACTGGCACAGTGCAGACTTTTGAATCCGGTGAGCAAATGAATGGTGCATTGTATAGATAAAAGGCAATCTTACTGCCTGAAAAATCACCCTGAGGTAGACAGGCCTCGAGTGTGACTTAGCATGGAGGTGGAGTGAAGTTTTATCACGAATGTATTTGCATTTTATTAAATAGAACTGCATGTTCCAAAGGGATCACCTAATTTCAGAAAATGAAGGATATGATCTACTCTATCATGTAGATCTTCATCATAAGCATTTGTGGAGATATAAATGTAGATCTGAGTACTACAAGACTAACACCCTTTGGTGTTTATCTTTTATAAAAGTTCTGGGTGGTGTGTGAATATCACTGGCTGACAAATCTCTGCTATCCAACTTGCAGAGTGCTAAATATGGGATTTTGTTTCTCTTCCCAGGTTTGATGTGGCCAGCATGATGTCAGTTACTCTTAGTTGTGACCACCGAGTTGTGGATGGAGCAGTTGGAGCCCAGTGGCTTGCTGAGTTCAAAAAGTTCCTTGAAAGGCCAACAACCATGCTGCTATAATCGAACCAAAGAACGAAGACTTTCCTAGGTCACATTGTTCTGTTCTAATCAAGCTATTTATATTTCAGTGATTAGACTCTATTAAACAAATTTTCCTTTTTTATTTTAAATATGTATATTAACTGGTAATTTTTACCAGTCTGTACAGATAAATAGTTTGCAGAAGGCTTTACAGAGCAATATACAGTTATACTGTATTTTATACAGTTAATGAATTTGCCAATGTTTCTCAAAAAAAAAAAGTCAGGTGTTTTGGATTTAAAATCATGTGAGCACTCCTGAATTGGGGGGGGAGGGGGAGCATACACAGATATATAATCTCTTGTGTTCTCAGAAATAAGAGAACCAGATTGTAAACATCTGTGCAAAAGAATTTGTAAGGCTGTTTTTTGTTTTTTTTTTTTTTGTTTTTTAAAAGGTGAACCCTAAGTGGTCTGTTCTCCTGCTAGTATTAGTGAGAGTGACAGGCACACATTGAGAGGAGGAATATTTTTTCATAGGACAAAGGGTTCACATTCCACTTCCTCTTTGAAATTCAACACTAGCTTAGATTTTCACAGCTAAGTGATCTCTTTTAGAGGACTTTAAAAAAAAAAGGGCAAGAGAGAAGTTACACTAATCAGGCTATCAAAACAATAAATCAAATCTCTTCTAAATGCCACAGAGAACGTGCCCCATCTTTGTGAATTTTCACGTGTGTGTATTTTTGTATGAAATTATCTTAAATGGCTGCTTTCCCTCTTGCAATGTTAACAATACACCCTATTGTAATGGAAATGTTCTGCAGAACAGTCAGGAGACTTTCTTGCTATGTGTGTTGATACCCATTATTAGCATGTGTAATTTGGCCATTGGAATTCCATCCCTGGAAATCATTTCTGTGATGACTTGGATGCTTGAAAATTGATTTTTCAGACATTCTTGACATAGGAATCTCTGACATGAGTTGAGGTCATTGATATCACAATTCTTAGATGAAATGTCTTTGCTGTCCCATGTATATAATGTATGTAAAATGCTTTAAATGGTTTTCTATTGGACTTGTACCCAAATACACTAATAATTGTGTCCTACAGTGGGGGGATACATTGGTGGCCACTCCCAATATTCCACTTTCCAAAGGGAAATGTTAACTTAAGAAGGATCATGTAGTTGATCAGTAACCAGGAGAGCTTGGTAGGAACAAAAGGTTAAATAAATTCTATATAGAAACTTATTCTGTACCCTATACGTTGCATTAAGTATTGTCTCTTGTAAAGTTGTGCTACACAATCCACTAAAGGTAATACTGAAAAAATATACTGTGGAGATGAAATATTTTTGTGAGAACTATTTAACGTTTTACTTGGTTGGTTGCAGTTATGCCTAACTTTGATGGTTGGGTAAGAAGAAAAGTTGTTGCACTTAAGTTTAAAAATGTTCTAATTCTCTCAGTTCCAGATTCTCTAGTGAGTCCATGTGTTCTATTAAATCTTTGGAATTGTTAGACAAATAAAAATTGTCCCAGTGCTTTTTCTGTGTAGTAGTGGGTGCTGCTCACCTCACTGCTAGTGCACAGTCTATCCAAGTTGTCAGCCCGTTTGGTTGGGCAAATGCAACTTACCCTATTAACCTTAAGATTTCCAGCCATAAGTGGTTCAGTAACATCTTTGTTAAGCCACCGTCATGCAGCACTGGACTTGGATGATCTACGTTTCTGACTCCACTGTGTACTTAGAATTCTGGTTAAGGAAATCCTGGACACTCTTGTTATCCCATCCCCATAATAACCTGAAAATTAATCAAAACAGGAACTATCTTGTGCCAAAGGACCACTGTCCTATTGAGAGCCTGACTGGGGAACAGGTTGCAAAACAGCAGAATGATCCTTTGTATGTATTGGGCTGTGTGTTGCAGTGCCCTGTTGCATGCTATACACTCCAACTAGGGCAGCTCATGTACATGAACACTTTTCAGTCTGACCTATAACTATAGAAAGGCAGTCTTTAGATGCAATCCTTGTGACTGTTTCAGAAGAAAAAAGGAGGAAAACTAAGAATTGTGGCTCATGAGTAAATTAGTCTGTTAAAATTAAATAATAATATATGGAGATATCCTATCTCCTAGAACTGGAAGGGACCTTGAAAGGTCATCGAGTCCAGCCCCCTGCCTTCACTAGCAGGACCAAGTACTGATTTTGCCCCAGATCCCTAAGTGGCCCCCTCAAGGATTGAACTCACAACCCTGGGTTTAGCAGGCCAATGCTCAAACCACTGAGCTATCGCTCCCTGCAATGTAAAATACAATTATACATTTCTAACCTGTCTGTTCTAATTTCTGATCTATTTTAAAACATGGATATTCCTCTGTCATATTGTTATATGCTGTAATGGAGGAGAGTAATGTAAAGCTAAAGTGGGTACAGCCTGGCATAAAAGTGGTGAGTACATTGTGATATCAAATTACTTACCAAAAAGGCATCATGAAATTGATGCTTTATTTCCTCACTTCCAGTCTGAAAAGTAATTTCATATTCGAAAGAATATGATCATTATTGCCTTTGTAAGACAACTTGACTCCTGGCCTACCTTTTCCAACCTCTGAAGTACTCATTTTTAATGTTATCTCATCTGCATTTGCTTGTTTTTCAAGAATGCTACCTGGCACCACAGACACATAGCACTTGGGAAGTGTTTATATTTGGTAGATAGCTTCATTCATAGGGTTCTTGAGCTTTAATATTCATTATGTAAATAGTCTTTGAATTGGCAGACTAGTTCTAGAGCACTATTGTTATGTTGCCTAGTTCTGCTGAGATTGCAATACCATTGCATTGGTGGGTTAAGGCCAACTCTTAGTGCACAGCTGCCCTCAGTAGTATCAGCAGAAGAGCCAGTGACTGAATTGGCTTTGGAAACTGCTCACCTCACCTTTTAAAGGTAACCCCTGCAGATCTATTTGAAAAAGAAGCCAGGTTGTGGGAGAGCTTTCACTGTTACATGTCATGCATCATCAATGTCACCATCTTTCACCAGAATTAAATCCTCTATTTAAAAAGAAACAGTTTGCTAACACCGAATAAGAGGTTTTTCAGCAGAGTAAAACCAGAAAGGAAAACACAATTTCTTCAGAGTTTATCACCCTTTATTGGTCTACTGATTGACAAACTGGACATGGTAGTAAAGTTTATAATGTAGACTCGTGTTAGAGATAAAATGATCTAAGTAACCCTTAAATGTTTACAACTTGTATTAAGAATTCCTTCCTACTCTATATACTGTACACTTCCTCTCTATGTAAACTTCATCACCCTCTGTTCTCTAAAAGAAATTGTGTGTGCACAGACAGCAAAACAGATACTTAGAATAACACAGTGATACTGATTTCTACATATTGGTAAGATCTTTACCATAAACCTTCCTTTTAATCTTTAAGAGTGACACATACCCACTAACTCTGTGAGAACCTGCTGTCCCTAACATTTTCTTTAGGAAATTGGCATTATGATAAGCAACACACCTTTCCCTTTGTTAAATGTTGCTGTAGTTGCTTCTTCATCGACCAATTCTGGCAAATCCAGCTGTAATCTGTATTTTTCAGGGACTTCAACGATTACATCATCCTAAAACAGGCAAATTAAAATACTCCGTGAGCAAGTATATATGTTAGTTTAAGTGGCTTTCTAAGCCTGTTTGGGTTCAGCAGAGAGAAAACACAGGTTTTCATTCCTGCAAAACTTACCCTTGAAATGCTCAGTTCACATTCAGAAACGGAACTAACTTTAGGCAATTCAACTTTCAGTTCAATCTTTAGAGGTTTCCCATTTGCATCCTTTGCAAAGGTCAGTTCATAGGCAGGTGTGATTGGCTCCTCTGGCAGCTCCATACTGGCAATCTCTTCTATCAGATGCACTTTAGACTGTGTAACATCCTTGTTCAGCAGCAGTGTAGCATTATTGCGATCCTCCTCTCTGAGGTTGTGCTTCATCTGGTCCAGTGTCAGTTCTTCCAGAAAAAATATTAGTCACACAGGTAGTTACTAAAATATCTTCTTAGAAATAGTTTAGCTGCAGATTTAACTGATGGATTTATACCAGTTGGCAAAATGTGCCAAAACTTAAGTCTCAGCTTTGTGATTATGAACTCAGCTGCTAAAGCTTGTATACTAATTTCATGGAGCTCTTTCCATCTTCATTCCTCATTTCCAATTTTATTTGTAAGTAGGTACAAGATTGAAACTCTAGTTTCCAGTGTTCTGTACCTTACAGTGACACCACAAAGGCCTGATTCTACTGGGCCCAAGCCTGCGAGATGCTGAGCATCTTGCAGGAACAGGGTACAAGTCAGTTTCAATATTCTTTAGATTTCATGGAGATGGAAAGTAACATTGTAGGCCACCCCTCACATGAACAGGACCTTTCCCATTTCCATTACACCATTTCTTGACAGTAATTTAAAAAGTGTACGTACCATTCCTCATGTTCTTGTTGAAAAGTGGAGCTGGTAGTGGCCCTCCTCCCAGACTCTGTTTCATCCTTTTCAGGCTTCCTTTGAGTGTGAATGTTGCAATGTGGTAAGAGTGGGAGAGAGAGAGGTTGTAATGCTCCTCAATGTATTTAAATGTCAGACGGATCAAGTGATCCATTTCTGCTTGGTTCTCCTCTCGCTGAAGAATAGTCGGATTATATGCAATATCTATGATGGAGTAAATCTCTAGAAAAACAATGAGTGTCAAAAATTATTGCTGTACTGCTACAATCTGTTTTATAGGGGATAGAATACACCATCTGCCATAGCTACAGTGGGGTAACCTATATTAAGAATAATTTTGATGCTTTTCATTATTGAATGTTTTGAAGAATCAATAATATGAATAGGGAGTGGCTTGATCTGTGGTTTCCTATGAGGAGCTGGTTCCAGAAAACTGACCTGTAGAAAATACCACTCCCATCCAGCAGACCACTTATGTACATGTGTAAAGTTAAGCATGGAAGTAATTTCCCTGCATTTAATGGAACTGAGACTACTCGTGTGTTTAAAGATTGGTACATGCGCTAAAGCCCCAATCCTGCAAGTCACTTAAGCATTTAGTGTGATGTTCTGCTTTTTCAGAAGGAACAACCAATTTTACTTAGGGTTCAGTCTATGCCTCCTCCACCTTCAAGTTGCGAGCTATATGCCAGTCAATGGCATTCTAAAAGGGCTGCTCTTTACCAAAGTTATGTCTTTGCCTTTCCAATAAAATACTATAGAAATGAGAGGAAAGCGTCCTAACTGTGGCACGTACAAAGAGTATTTTGGAATCCATTATGTACTTGCCTGCTTTATCGGACACCTCCTCTAGTGGGCCAGCACTTAGAGGTATTGGATCAGTAAGTGACTTAGGAGCTGGGACCCTTTTCCACCTGCAGAGGTTAATGAACAATGATTTTTCATTAGGATCCTGCAAAGAGAACCCAAAACCACTTAATTACCACAAATGTTTAGGTCCCCTTATATCCAAAAGTGCAGTGGAACCAAATGGTTAACAACAGAGTAAAATCATAGGTCACTTCCAAATCCTTAACTACCTATAAACTTCTTTGTTCAACTTTATAGAAAACCGGTAAAGAGCTACGTTTGTCTCTGCCCACAGGGCTTTCATATTGAAGAAAAGATACACTGAGGTGTACACCAGGAGCAGGATAGGATTTAAATACAGTTTATGAACATTGATTTTAGGGACACAAAGGGGCCTTTTTACCAGAAACAGCAACAGTACGAGTCTTGTCACAGTCTGTGCTATGTAGGACATTCAACAACAAACCAGCACTGCTTTAGAGTCTGACTGTGACCTATGGTTGTGCCAGTATAACCGGGGAGTACTTCCACTGCGGTCAATGGAGTTACACTGCTGCAACAGTATGAGAGGAGAATCAGGTTTCTAGTGTCTAGGAGCTGGCTACTTCCATAGCACAAGGGGGGAGAGTTGCCTCTCTAAAGACTTGTATTCACTGCCCAGAGGTACCAGTATCCAGCTCAAGTTATGGGGTTCACCCTCTCAAGGTTTACTGTGCTCTTAGATGCAGAATATATCCTGGATTTCCATGTTACATTAAGTGATCTGCTATGATCATCAATTCTGACAGAATCTCAGAGCTAGGAATCCAGCTCTATCACAATGGGATGCATTCCAGTTTATTAATGAACCTCAGCCCACAAAGTATGCCTTCCTGAATTATACGTGATGTCCTCTAGGCCCTTACTTTTTCCATGGACACTGCTTGGTTTAATTAGGAATGGCTTTGCATTTAACACTAGAATTCATATCTGCATCTGCTGCTCTTTCCAGTTCCATGTAAACATGGTGCTTTTCCCACAGGCATATAGACCAGTTGGGTAACCTGACTCTGACAATGGCTATTGCCCAATGCTTCTGTGAAAATAAAAATCTTCCACAATGCACCTTTTTGTGCCCTCCATGATAGTGTATTTTGGGAAGGAGCACTGGCTCACACCCTGAAGCACAAAGCATGAGAACTTTTATTATTTTTATCCTAGCCAGTGGCACTGCAGAGGCTGTTTTTCCCTCACAAAAATCAAATCCTTTTTTAACCTTATTGAGCCATTAGGCTGAATGATATCCTCATTCCATCCCTCACTGGTGTCTCAGTTCTCTTGGGTCTCTAGCAGTGAACACTGGTGCTCAGAAGGACCTTCACCCACTCCCAAGGGTATTCAGATAGCCTGTGAGGGCTCCCATGACACAGCTCAGCTAGTAGTGGCTGGTTAGGGCCTTTTTGCAGCTGGAAGCATCTTCCAGGCACTACCATTGCCGGGTGAGATCCTACTGGAAACTCATGGCTCTTTCATAGCATAAGCCCTTGCCCCGCGTACCAGTATGTGGGTCTGTAGGCAAAGATGTGGTTCAGGGGGAGCGCAATATTGCTTTGCATCCTCCAGCTGCTGCTGAATGAATCTGTGGTAGCTCTCAGGGGTGCTTTCTGCCATCTCATCCAGCATACTCCAGAGTTGGGTCACTTGAGTCAGCATGTCCTCTGGGTGAGCAGGAGCCGCCATCATTAGCACAAATGTCCCTCAGGAAGCAGCACGGGTCCTACGCTTAACGCCTATAAGAGAAAAAAGAGAATTAGGGGGAGTATCTGCTTTGAACAGGTGCCCTTCACAGGGTCCATGGGGTTTGTATCCTCGACTCCCGGCAAAATATGTTCTATTCACAAGAAAAAGGATGGGGGATCTACCTGCCAACCGCTTCCCAGCCCCTTCACCTGCCCCTAGGATCTGAGAGTCACATTAGAGGCCTCTTTGCCCCCACCCCAGATCCCCCCCCGCGGCCCCCCTGCCCCCCCCCCCGCCCCCCCTCCAGCACCCCCGTGCTGCCCCCTTGGCCCCCCCCCCAGTGCCCCGTGCTGCCCCCTTGGCCCCACCCCAGCGCCCCCGTACCGCCCCTACTCTCTCCCCTTCACTCGCCACACAGATCCTGCCTCCGGGTACACGACGCCGTTTCCATAGCAACCGACGCGGAAGTCCCCCGGAAGTGTCGTAACATCACCCCCCCAGCTCCCTGAGTTCCGATTCCCGACTTGGTCCCCGCGCCGGAGCTGCGTCTCTCCCGCCCCGAACCCTCCGGATCGGGCCCCCCGCAGGCAGCCCAGTGCTTCCGGTGGAAGCACTTCCGGGGCACTCACTTCCGGGTGGAAGGAGCGAGCACCCCCCCTCCCTCCGTGGGTGAGAAGGGCTCTGGGTTGGGGGGTGGGTTATGGGCCCGCAGGGGGAGCGCTGGGTCGGGGGTTCTGGGGGAGAATACGGGGTGAGGAGGGGGAGAGGTGAGGATTGTGGGGGGTGGGGTCTCTCCCCAGGCCTGAATGTATCTGTGAGGGCCTATACCTCGCCCACCCCCGCTCCCCCCACCAGGTGCCCAGTGCTGGGGCAGCCACCTGCTGCCCTGGCTCCCTGCCCGCTGGCACTGTTTCTGCTTTCCCCATCAGGGCCTCCAGCCTGGCTGTCCACGTGTTACTACCGATGGGTCCCAGGCGGGCTGGTGCTTGGGGCTGAGATTGAAGCAAATCTCCCTAGATCTCCCTGCTCTCCACGTGATCCCTTTATTTTCTGCCCTGATCTGCTGTGAGCTGTCAGCTAGCTGCTGGGTGATACCACAAAGGGAGCTGCGCTTCAGTGGTGGGTGAATGGCTGTATACGTAGGGCCTGGGTCTCTCGTCACCATGTCAGTTTTACACCAGCATCGCTCCTTGATGTCAGTCCAGTTACTTCTGGGGGTAAGTGGGAGCAGGCTCAGAGCCACAATATGTTAAGCAATCACCATGGAAGTATTAGATTGAGAGACATGGAGTAATTATCACTTATCAATGAGAAGTTATGTGGGATATGAGATAAAGAGATTTATCAGAGACTCTGGATGTGGGTACCTACTGCTGGATCATCCTTTCTAGCCTCTGTACATGCAGACTGTCTCATAGGAGGCTTAGTTTTGGGGTAATACAGTGGCTTCTTCGGGAACACACATCTCAGCCTGAGTCAATAGCACATTTACTGTCACACAGATGGAAAAAACTTGCCTATTCATCTCCCTGTCCTGACAAGAGCATTCTCTGCATTACAGAGTCTTATGTATGATTTTCTAATAGCTTTATTTTTTGTTACCTCTGTGAAGGTTAAAGAATGTCCCGGGTCCCTTTAGGAAAAGTCCTCTTACGAAATGTCATTCGTCATACTGATGCACACAACAAGGTATGGGACCATGTTCTATTTCTTTGCTTCTCTCTCCTGTGGTAAAGTATGGTACTATCTCTGATAGCTCTTCTCCAGGTCTGGTCTCTCTGTAAACTCAAAAGCTTGTGTCTTTTACATACAGAAGTTAGTCCAATCAAAGATATTACCTTATCCCCCTTGTCTTTCTGATACAGTCTGACTTTCCTCATGTGTATCAAGATCTATCTCCTGTTACTTTAGTGTTGCATGTCCAGAGTTATGATATTTACAAGGGAAAGCTCTTTCTTGATGCCATTGTGTCAAGCTATGCTATTTTCATTTTGCTGTTGCTAAATTATGATGGCTAAACTTAAGTTGTTCCACACAGCAAATCAGTTCAGCGCACAAGTATATTTTTGAAGGTAGAAATTTCTGCAGCGCATCATTGGGGTCCTTTGTGCCCTATAGCAGCTGGAGGAAGAGAGGTCCATGCTACTTCCTAAATTTTAGATATTTATTACTCATCTTAAAAACTTACACTAATTTTAAATTTAGCAGACAAAGCTTAGGGTGAAGTTCACTCTTGGGCAGAAGACCAGCACAAGGCCCCTAGTTTGGGAGCATATGTGGGGCAAATGCAAAACAACACAAAACAACACCCTGCAGTGTTGGCTCCTGTTCTGCGGGGCTGGACGTAGCTCACCTCTCCACGCGTTGCCACCTGGGTCACAGCACAGCTTGCTCAAATTTGACCCAGCTGCCCCTCCATCATCATGATAGAGGGTTGCCTGGGCCAAACCTGACAGTGCTGAAACTCCATGCACCAGGTCTCAGTGGCTGGAGTTGAGCCCAGCCCCGCAGGACAGGAGCCACTGCTGCATGGTGAGAGTGGGGAGGGCTTGCTCTGCAACCCACCTGTCTGTCCCAGGCCTTTTCCCCCACCCCAGGGGCAGGACACGACCAGACCAAACCCAACCCACCTCCAGGGCCTCTACACCCCCCCCCCCCCCCATGATCCAACCCACCTACTGAGAGTAGATAAAATGAAAAAACACTACATTGCCAAAAATAAAATGAAAAATATATAAACATAACAAGCATTTCAGAGGGCTCTGTTTCGGACTTAGGTGGTGCCAAGGCTAAGTGAATTTAATCCTGAATGCACAGGTGAATTAATTTTTAAAGGGGCCCCATCAGTTGAAAAAAAAATATCACATTTTGTGCACAAGCACAGCTCCTTACCTACATTACTAACAATGACTTGTATTTTTACTAATCTAGCTTTTCCCTGTTTAAACTCTTGTTTTGTTTTTTTGCCTCTCTCTCAGCTAGGGCAATGAAAAGTCAGTTTCACTTTCAGATGCTAAGTGCTGCCTTGTTTGATTTGTAGGCATGGCAAGGGAATATTTACTTACAAGTTTCATTTATTTAAAAATAATGGAAGTGTTTCCGTGGCTCTGATGTCTTGTAAAAGCTTTTTTCCTACAACATTTACTTTGAGTGTTGTCATCTCTTTAAGATAAGAAAAATAATTATTTTAATTTAGCATTTGTTAGGTTTTTGTGTCGCTGTAAAACAGATCCCCACTGGGATTTGAATTTCACTTCAGTGCACAAGACTGGTATTTCCTGAGAGATTTAGAAATTGGCCCTTTTTTACTAAGGCATTTAATTCATCAGGCTCATTTTCCAAAAAGGCATTTATCTCATATGTGCTTAAGATGATGCCACATGCACAACAAGGCTATGTGAACAAAATCTGTGTCAAAGCGCTGGGTATGCTGTATTTTCAAGCGTTTAACATGAATACGCACTTGGGACTCAGCTCTGCAGTAGATACGTGAGCAGAACTCTGGAGGAGTGCAGAGCTCCAATGAGTGAGAGATTCTGTATGAACTGAAGGGTCCACCTGCATGGACCAGATTACAGAATAAGGCTCCTCATCTATAAAACAAAGTTATTTGTCACTGCAGCTAATTCTCATTAGGACGTTTCTCATTTTGGTTAACCTGATGTAGCTAAAAAGGCTCATTTATGTCACTGCAGCAGGTCAGCTTAGTTTGAAATCCCTCAAACTTCAATTATTGACCCAGAAGAAGTGAGGTTACAATGTTTCATAGTTGCAAAGCATCACTTCTGTAGGGTACTTAATTTTATTTTCTCATTTTCTTCATATTTTTCAGATTCAGGAAGAATCAGAAATGTGGAAAATAAGGGAGCTGGAGAAGCAGACTCAAGAGACTTACCGGTGGAAGCAAGAGAGAATGTCACCCAATACCTCCAGGTGGGACTGTTATCTGGAGGAAATAATCCTCTTTACCACTCTGTATTGTAGTATTATTTAATGTTTACAAAGTTCTTTAAAGAGAGAGCAAGAGCCCTGTGTAAGGGCCAAAAATTTATTAACCATTTTGGTGACCACACAGGAGCATCCTTGTATAATCCTGTTGTAACAAGGTTCACTCATCACTGTGGTGCCTCCTGCTGGCTGTCTTGGGGATTGCTCTGCATATTAGCACACCTTCTTGAGTGGTGCCTTGCCCCTATCACTCCTACTCTAGGACCCACCTCTCTGTAAGGACCGTGGTATCCTCTTCAGTGACACAGCCCTCTGGCCACGCAATACACTGTACTCTCTCATTCCGGGGGATCTGCAGTCTGCTGTTCAGCCATTTCCCTTTGTGGCTGCTGCAGCAGCAAATTGTCTGGCCCCATCATCCTCTTTGCCCTTGCCTCAGCTGCAAACCCCAGCAGCCAGGAGTTGTCTCTCGCTCTCCCGGTCCCTGCTTATAGCATTGCTCTCTCCAGGATGTTGGTAGTTCTGTCAGTCCTCCAGAGATACAGTCCTGGACTCCCAGCAGAGAACTGCCTTTCTCTGCCCCGCAGCTCCCTTTTTATATGGGCCTGCTTGGCCCTGATTGGCTGCTCCCATCAGCCCTTCTCTGATTGGCTGCCTCCTGCGCAGCCTCCCTAGGGCTCTATTAACTCCTTAGAGCCCAGTGTGGGGCAGGCGCTCCATCACACTTGTATACACCACACTTCCTGTTGAAGTTTCACACTGCATCTTTGTGGGGTGATCCAGGTGTGCAGTTTTAAAAATATATAACTTTAGATAGGTTGGGGCCTCTGAAATAGCAAGATTATAGTTTGGTTAAGAAGTGTTAAGAAATGTGATACAGTGACATCTGAAAAGTTTGCGCTGTCTTTGGTAGATGTACTCAGTGCTGGTGCATTAGTATTTATAGTGTGATGTGGGTTATCACTAAATGAAATCATTCTGACCCAAGCTCTTGCACCACATAAATTCCTCCCAGCTCCTGTCCAGTATTAATGTAGGTAATAGCCGGTCACCTGTGGGTTCTCTCACCATAACAAACTGGTTAAATGGTCATTGGTGTGCTTGAAGATCTCACAAGCTAAGCAGGATCAAGTTGGTTTGTACATGGATGAAGACCTTCAAGGAATGAGCAAGTGATGTGAGAAGTGGTTTTGTTAACTCTTGCGTTTGAGTATATATTGAGCTCAGTGGCCCAGGTTGGTGCTGGGAGAGGCTATCTTTTAGATGACATGTAAAAGTGAAGTCGTGATCAGCTGTAATCATTAAAGACCCCATGGCACTTTTTATTAGGTTCGGGCTGTTAACCCTGGTACTCTCACCAAATTCCAACTCCAGTAATTATGTTCCCCCTCCAGTTTGTATTGGATACTGTCATCTTTATTTCCTGCCTTAAATTGTTGTGTCACTGTGCACTGTTAAGCAGCTGCTGAGATCCATTCCAGACGTGGTAGTATTTCAGTGGTGCTTGACATGATACATACTTGCCTTTTCAGAGTACTGGGAGGTATAATTAATTATTGTTTACAAAGTGATTTGAGAAACTGATGAAAGGCAACTGTCTGTGCAAGTCATTTATTAATCATTGGGTTGGTCCCATGGAAGCTCTGAGTGGAGATGGAGTGAATCTCTTTGCATGGACTGACATCCAGAGACTGTCGCATGTGTGCTTTCTCCCCAATGCCCTCTGTGCCCTAGATTGAGTGATTGATTGCCCAAAAAGTCATTTGTTCCTCTGAATTGACCACTGGAGAACACTCATTTTCTCTCTGCAGTAGTCGGATGCGCAGTGACGGTTTCGATGAGGAGAGCCAAAGGGCTGACTGGAAGGCAAAGAACTTTATGCATGTTCCTGACATGATCGAAGACGACCTTCTCAGGGCTCGGACCTGGAATAAGAAGCTCTACGAATGTGAAGCCAACATGCCAGATAGGTTTGTGGGTGAATTACTATCCTGGCATGGTTCCTGTAGAAAAAGTATCTGGTACTTTATGGCCCCCACATTTCACAAAAGTTAGTGAAATTATCCTTACAACACTCCTGTGCAATAAGGAAGTAGTATCATCCCCATTTTACAGGTGGTAAAGTGAGGTACAGGGAGACTTAAGTAACCTGTCCAGTGTCACACAAAGCCAGGAACTGAGTTTCAGTCCTGTGCCTTAGTCACAAGAGCATTCTTCCTCTCTGGCACTAAATAAGTACTGCCCTAAACCGAAGACTTGTTTAGTACTGCTCTCTGTAGAATTTAACCAAATCTACTTATGATATCCAGGTAGCTAATCTCCCAGATATACAGGGAAATACTAGTCAGTGCTTTTGGGGGTATTTCTAAGAAACAGGAGCTGCATTGTGCCTCCCTGAACTCTTCCTTTACTACCATTTTAGCTACTTGTTTCATTCCTCCAGGTGTCTTTTTTTATTTTTGTTAGCACCCAGTTCTAATCTGGCTGTTGGCATTCTTGCTGCCTGAAATTCTTGTACAGCTGTAATTCTGTATTTGGATAGGTTTTAGATGTTGAATCTAGTAGTGTGTAGATTTTACCACAGTGATAAAGGACCATATACTTGTGTTTTGCATTATAAATGGAGTTTTGTGATCACACAATTGAATACAAATGAAACCCTCTTACTATGGGGAAATGCATAGGGTGAGCAAAGCAAATTGTACACCATGAGTGAAGTCAATGGCAAAACTTGCAGTGACTTCAGTGAGGCTAAGATTTCACCCCATGTTCCCTGGGTGTTTATGAGAAGTGTGAATTCCCAAATCATTGGGCTTCTGCCGCACAGGGAGGTACAAATTCCCTACCAGAAAAAAGCAAAGTGGTTGTTAGTCTGCTCAGAATGGTCTAAACAGAACCTAGCAAAGCAAAATGTTAGCACCTTAAACAAGTAAGGAAGATACTAGCTGTTATTCCTCCGGACTCTTGTTTTGTATTTTTCCTAAAGCTCTCTCTTTCGTTTCACCCTCATTTTGGTTCTGAATATCCTGTGTGGTTTTAACGTGTTTCCTGCTGTTCTCTTGCAGATGGGGTCACAGTGGCTATAAAGAGTTATATCCAGAGGAATTTGATACTGACAGGTAAGGGCAAACAAGTCTACTGACAAGTCCAACATCTTAATTTCTGTCAAGTTACACAATGAAATATAGAGCTTGTACCTCTCCCATATAGACTGTAAATGGACCTTTCAAGGCAGAATTGAATTGTTTACCTAGCAGACACGTGGCCTGAGATTCCGGTCCATTAATGTGTTCTCTTACTCAAAACAATTCTGACAATAATGTGAGAGGGCTGGCTTCACTTCATAAGGCATAAATATTCAGTTAAGGCTTGAATGCTGTCCTTACTTTGCCCATATGTGGCACCATTCCTGCAGTGAAGAGCCCTCCCTGTTCTGAGCCCTGAGAGGTGATTGTATCTCTTCTAATAACAGGACATCCAGCTTTAACCCTGTGTTAAGAGTGACTGAAATGTGATGCAAATAAGTGTTCGGCTTCTTGGAGTTGGGCAATTTCCTGAAGTGATCCAGCTTCCACTGACTGGCTGCGAGCATGTCTGCACCTAGAAATGCTAGTCAGAATGAGAGCTCCAGTAGCATGAGGCAATTAAGAGTGAAAATGCAAAAAAAAAAAAAAAAAAATCTATTGGGACACAGATTTATTTATTTTAAAAACTGTACATAGTAGAATTGCCAAATCTAGCACTTAGCTGATTCCTGATAGTCACAGATAAGGAGTTCTTAGTAAGTTTTGCAGCATTATGTTATGTTTTCCATGCTCTGGGTTGGTTAAAATGCCTTTGAAATGGCCTCTCATCCCAATGATAAGGTATGGACCCAAACTGTTAAGTGGTGAAGTTAAAAATGCAGCCAACTTATCTGACATAGCATCCATATGTCTGTCCTGAAAGGAGCTCAGGGTAGATGGGCTTGATTGATGCTTTGAAATAGGGAATGCGAATTTAGAATCTGCCCAGGCCTCTATTCTTTGTTCCTGTTACAGTGACCAGCAAGAGAAAGATGAACAAAACGCTGTCAATGGAAAGAGGAAATCTCACCCAGGAGAACAATCTGTGCCTGAGTCACTCAAACGGAAGAGGCCAAAGAAATCACAGAAGAAGAAGCAGAAAAAGAGATCACACAAAAAGCGAAAGAAGAGAAAAAAGGAGAAGGTGAAGGCATCATCAGATTCTTCCCAGGAAAGCGAGTGTTCAGAGGAGGGGACTTCGGGCACCAGGAAAGGGAAACACAAACACAAGCACAAGAAGAAGACCAGGAAAAGGCTTGCAAAGGAACCTGCCTCTTCCTCTGGGCAGGAAAGTGACTCTTCCAGTGTGAGCAGCTCTGAGGACAGCGAACCTGAGGAGAAAAAGGAAAAGTGGTCTAAGAAAAAGAGGAGGAAATGCCCTGTGTCCGCCTTAGAGAGGCACAATGAGATTCAGAAGAAGCAAAGCAAGAGGAAGAACTGGAAAGTGGCAGCTGATGAGAAGTCGGAGGACAGCTCAGATGAGGACTAACAAGCGGCCATGAGTCTGGGGCCATGGGTGAAATTGCACGTCAGCGAATGGAGGCTGACGTTTTCTCCCGACATTGCCCTGTGGTACAAACATGGTGCCTAACTGATTTCTGGAGCACAGAACTTTATACCCTGCCAGCCCACAGGTATGGGCTCTGCACCTTGCTGGCTCGCAGAGGGCACCTCTTTGGTTTTTGCTGGTTTAAAACCAGGAGAGCTGAAAGGCCTGCGGAGAAGATGCCTGTCCCTCAGGTCGCATCTCCTGCCCACCCACCCCAGACTCCTGACTCTATAATTGGTCTAATTTCATGGCCATATTCAGTTTTAATTGACAGTTCATGTGGGCCATCTTCAGAAGGGAAACGGGTGCATTGGCACCGTCTCTAGGTTTTTTTAAAATTGTTCCTCTTTTCATGCATAGCCACGTAATGACCAAGACACAATTGCAATAAAGAGCAGAGGCCACAGCTTCTGCCAACCTGATTACAAAGGATGTGCCATTGGATTTAACAGCAGGGGCCCTTCACTGCAGCATTATCCCCGTGATGAAAATAAACGGATGTGGTCCCACGTGGACAGTCAAAGTAAGGAGGAGGCACTGGTCTGGAACAAGGAAGGGCAGGTGGGGTGTCACAATTCTAGCTGCAGGTGTGGTGACCCCACTGCAGTGGTTTGTTTCAAACTTGCCTCAGATCCCCTACCTCTGCCCTTTGTGTGACTGACTTTCCCTCCTTCCTATCAGTAACACGTTCCTCTGGATCCACTTGTGCTGATGGACAGGCCTCTGATAGGTTTCCTGTTCTGTCTCTGGCTGGCCCAATGTGTTTGACACAAAGATTGGGATAGCAGAATCAGGCCCTGAGGATTTAGAATCAGGGTGGTGGGCCCCAAAGGACCAGTCTTCAGCTGGAGGAATAGTGCCTGGGATATGAGCTTCAGCATAGAATGGGAGAATACCTGGGGCTCCGAGAGGTAAGGGGGATCTCAATGCGAGTTCAAAACTAGATAGCAGAAACACAACATCAGGGTAGTTTATCTTCTAGTGGGAATGTCTTATATGTCAGCCTGGTAAACAAATCTTCTCTGCCTTACTGTCTATAATCTGCTCAATCAGAGAACTAGTAGATACTTGGGAGGAAGAGGAGGGAACCTGCATAAATACATAATAGCCCAGATCCTTGGTCTTTGTTTAAATTTGTTGTCTCTCTTTCTCCACCTGTAGCAGGTGAAGCTTTTTTAGGTCTTCCTGTGCGTATGGGCTGACACTGATAAAATGGAGAGACATCATTGTAGTGTCTGTCATTCCGTGTCCCCCTCTCCCACTGCCACAGTGCTTGGTCTACATTCTGTCATCCACTCCCTCTTCTAGAAGGCCAATGTTTGTGACTTCCTTTCCAGGGCACGAATATGTGGGCAGCTGATTCTCTGATGGGGTTAAGCAATGTCCTATTTCTCTAAGGTCCTGTCTCCTGGTGCAGGGATTTCCATGGGCAGGAAGGGGAGCTGTCAATGGTTCCTTTCTAGTTCAGTGTGAGAGCCACTTCTCTATTGCAATCTGCAGAAATGTTAATGCAATAACAATGCAGCAGCTTTTCACGCATCACAAGAGAAGTGTTCAAGGAGATTTTTATTTTTATAAAGAAATCCTCTACAGAAAGATTTTAAAATAGGAAATGTATAACTGCAGAAGATAATAGATTCATATATTGCACTGGACCCAGTGTGGACTTTATGGGTGGATTTTAGGGCAGGACTGAATGTTGGGGCTCAAACAGTGATCCTACTATCCTATACGGTCCAGCTCCTAATGCAACCAGTGAATAGAGTGCTTGGTATGTCACTACTTTTGCTTTGATGGACTAGTGTCTCCAGGCATTTGAACATTGGCTGCCTCATGCTTCTTCATCCTAAGAACATATGCCAGTTGGGCTCCTGCCAGTTAAAGGCATTTACTCAGGATAATGGGCTGGCCAGAATGGGCTTCAGGGCCTTTTACCCAGCCCTGGCCACTATTTATTTACCAAGGATGATCCTAACTTTGCTTTTCTTTTCTCTTAACGTGGCAGTGTCCACAGTACTAAATCTCTGCCTGAAGCTGCTGGAACGGTGCTCCATAATAGTCCTTGTTGAACAGACAAGCAATTCACATATGAAGTTGCCCTCTTTTTTTCTACCCCTTCCCCAAATCTGTTAAAGAGCTGGTGTGTTTGCGATTCTGGTACCCTCCAGGTCTGTTTGGATAATCTACCCAAGGCACACTCCAAGGTTTCCTGCTCCGTATGATGTTGTACTACCACCATTGACCGTATTTTTGAAGAGAATTCTAAGAAGTTGCCAGAGAAGGCAGGGTGGATTGTATATCCTTTCTATGAAACTTAAGTACAGGATTTTTAGTGTGTGTGTATGTGTGAAAGACAGTGATGGATGCATCCAAAGAAGCGGGTATTCACCCATGAAAGCTCATGCTCCAATACGTCTGTTAGTCTATAAGGTGCCACAGGTCTCTCTGCTGCTTTTAGTGATGAATGTCCACCTTATTAGATAACATAAGTCCTGATGGGCTCACAGCATAAACCAGACTTTTCAAATGTGTGGTCAATTTATTTACAGTCACTGCTCACCAGGTTAGGCTAAATTTGTGTAAAATATCAACATGTAGATCATTAAATAAGACTGCATCCATTCTTGTACCTTTAAACATAAGTAAAGGGAAATCTAGTTTAGTCTCTCAAGCACCCATCAGACTTCTGCATTGTACTATAACATACTCAGATAACTGGGGGTCTTCTGTCATTTGCATTAGTGTATTGCCAAATTAAGCTAAGCTGATATAAGTGAGGGTTAACCCAATGAGAAGGCTTCTATAATAGGGTCTTCCACCTGTTTGACTAGATTTAGTTAAACCAGTACAACTTTTCTAATACAGACAAAATCTCAGATACTGTATCAATTTACATTGACATTTTGAAGATTTTCTTTATAACCAGTGGGGCTATAACCAATTTAAAAGAAAAAAAAAAGCTTGGAGTGTGCAGCAAAGTTCACAGCCACAGAACTGTGCAATAGACTAGGCCCTAGCAACATGCCTTTTAACCAGTTTCACTTTTTGGTTTTCATGCATTATCCTACTGTACAGCATCTAAGTTTAGGCTTCAAACACTCCCGTAGAACAAGTGTTTTCATTCATTTATTAGTTCATTGAAAACATTTATATTCATATTACATTTTTTAAATTTAATTTTGATGCTAAGATACTGTGCCCATCCCCTGTGTCAGTAGCAAGCACATCTCTTCTCTACTTTCCTCTAATTAGATAAAAGACATGGAAAAGCAGCGATATATACTGTCACATCACAAGACTTGTTTGGACAAGTGTTCCTGATGGTTTATTAAATTGCAGTACGATGACACATTTATGAACAGTTCAGTGCAGCTAAAGAATTCACAGGGACAATTGTGCTTTCCGCAAATGATTGTTCAACCACTTCTGCATTTTGTGAAAGTATCAGTTAAAATGTAGCTTAGAACATGTGATGATGCTCCACCGACAGCTGATAAGTCCATTGACCTGAATAGGAAAGATTGGGTTGTCCAGAGTTGGGAAATGCAGTAATCAGTGTCCTCCTTTCTGTACAATCTGAGCAAAGCGATTAGTGATGGATAACGTGGTATCAATGAATCTGTCCACACAGCTGGCTAGACAGCCTTCTGTTCTGGAGTCCAACTTTGAGCCAGGTTTGTCCACACATTTGTCCCAGCAAACGTCCATGAAGTTATGAACCTAGATGTGAACAGGAAACATGTTAGTTACTACTATTTAATCAAATATTTTACAGATGGGGAAGCTAAAATATGAGAGGGGGTACAACGATCACTTGTCTAGGAGTCCTGCCAGAACACCATCCTTTCCCCCTGTGCCTTATCCTTGAGGGGACCATCACCCTCGGAACTGAGAAGTTCAGTCACTGTGGCTGTGTACTTGGTCCTTCTGCGGACACGCACAAAGGGGTCCATTAATGCCAAAGACGGTGTGATTTCTGTGCTGTATGCATCTACTTATTAGGGACTGAACCAAGTCACTGGCTCACATTGCCCCCCACACATTCATCTCCCCAAACGAGTGTCAAGGGGGACTGCCTGGCTCTCAGGGGAGGGTTACAAGGGGGCTGCCTTGCTCTCAGGGGAGGGTTACAAGGGGGCTGCCTTGCTCTCTCTGGGAGGGTTACAAGCAGGGCTGAATTTGTAACGAAAGAGTTGCGGCGGCTCAAGCCATTTTTTTACATTCCTAAGGGATGGAGCAAGCCCGGAGGTGCCAGGGCTGAGCAGCACCGGTGCTAAGTATCTTGGGGGAAGAGGAACCCCTTTGGGGAGGGGGTGGCCATAGGGATCCCAGTGACTGAGGGGCCGGACCCCGCTGGGGCTCCACGAGGCGTGTGCGGGGCTGGCTGGGGGCTGGGGCTGCCCATCGCGGGCCTGGCAGGAAACCTAGGGGGCCCCGGGGGGAAGGTACCTGGGCGGTGAACTGCGCCCGCTGCTGCTCCGCCGCCACCAGCCGCTGCAGCTCGGAGGCCGCGGGGTCCCGGCCCCCGTCCGGGCCGCCGAGCTCCGCCATGGGGAAGGCGAGTCCGGCCGCTGTGACCTTCACCGGCGGAACCGGAAGTGAAGGGGCCAGTCCCTCGCGCACGGGGCCAACCCGGCTCCCGCCGCTCCACCGCGGGTCTGTTTCCGCTTCCGGGTGCCCGTGGCGCCCTTGGGGCCGTGGGGGCGGGGGAGGGTCAGACGGCAAGATGGCGGCGCTGCTGGTGCGGGGGGGCCTGTGGCGGCCCCGAGGCCGGGGGCTGGGTGAGTGTCGGGGGCGCGGGGGGCTCAGCCCGGCCCCTCCATGGGGCTGCCCCGGGCCAGGGCTGCGGGGTCTGTTCCCAGCTCCGGCGCTGACTCGCTGTGGGGGCCTTGGCAAGGGTGATGCGGGACAACGATAGTGACGCCCCCCTTCGCGGCCAGGGGCGGGGGGCAGATACCCGCCTGCCTGGTCCTGAGCGGGTCTGGGGGTCCCCCCCCTCGCGGTCTCCCCCCCCCCCAAGCTTCTGCCTCCCCCCTAACCCCCGTGACTCGCGCTGATCAGAGCCGCCTCCCCCTTGCAGGCTGGCTGTGGGGTGTGGGTGGCTGTTGCTTTTTTCCAGCCTCCCCCGCTGCTGTTTATATTGCTTGTGACCCCAAGGCGCCAAGGTGGGTTGGAGCCTCTTGTGCTGGGTGCTGTACAAACGCAGAGCCAGGGATGCTCCCTGCCCCAGAGAGTTTACAGTCTCTAAACCAGTGGTTCTCAGCCAGGGGTACGCAGAGGTCTTCCAGGGCATACATCAATTCCTCTAGATACACCTCTACCCCAATATAACGCGCTCCTCGGGAGCCAAAAAATCTTACCGCATTATAGGTGAAACCACATTATATCGAACTTGCTGTGATCCGCCGGAGTGCGCAGCCCCCCCCCCCCCCCCGAAGCGCTGCTTTACCGCTTTATATCCAAATTTGTGTTATATCGGGGTAGAGGTGTATTTGCCTAGTTTTACAACAGGGCTACATAAAAAGCACTAGCAAAGTCAGTACAAACTAAAATTTCATACAGATAATGACTTGTTTACACTGCTCTATATACCATACACTGAAATGTTAGTACAATATTTATATTCCAGTTGATTTATTTGAGAATTATATGGTAAAAATGAGAACATAAGCAATTTGTCATAGTCTGCTGTGACACTTTCGTATTTTTCTGTCTGATTTTGGAAGCAAATAGTTTTTTAAGTGAGGTGAAACTTGGGGGTACACAAGACAAATCAGACTCCAGAAGGGCATACAGTAGTCTGGAAAGGTTGAGAGCAACTGCTCTAAGCTATCTGTTAGTTCACCCTTTGTCAATTGTAATTGTGCAGCACTCCACCTGCCTGGGTGAGCTTTAGAGAGGTAGTAAAATAAAACTCATTTGAGGGCCCTTTGTGAAAGGCATAGCGCTATTACTACTTAACTATAGATGTGCAGAATATTTTATTATGTGTCAGCTATGCCAAGCCATTGAATGAGTCAATGCCACAAAGATCTGGCAGCTTAAAGGTGCAAACAAGCATCAGAAAGAACACACCAGACCTACTAGCAGTTCAGATCTTTGAAAATACTGTAGTCACCCAGAACAACTTATTGAGCAGGTCTTTTCTAATGTAGCCTGTTTAGCTCATGAAATGAATGCAAGATTTCCCTAATGCTCACAACATAGCTGCAAAGTTTGTCATGCCACAGTTGGTGGCTAATGTTCTTGTCTCAGATTCCTTGAAGCACTGTTTTGGGTGCAGCTTGCCTCACTCTTGGAGGCATGGGGCTTTGGATATTAAATCCTTGGTAGGGAAACTCTGAAGCATGTGTACACCAGGCTTGTTAGAAATATTGCAAACAACACATTTACACACACACCCAAACTGTTATTTGTGGGGTATAATTTGTATTCCCTATTCTAACTTTGTGCATCCTTTTTTCTGAAGAAACCACTGGCTTTCCTTTTCAGGAAGCCCTCTGGACTCTTATTGCTTATTGATTAAGATGCTGATTGCTGTAGTTTAACTTCCAGGGATTTACCTTTAAATTTTGGGGGTGTAAAAGGCAACTAATCAATCTTTGTTCCGTTGACAGTTCTTCTCAGTAAAAGTCTGTTGACCAGACCTGTGGTTGCCTGTACAACAACCTTGGATCGGCCAACTCCGGCACATCAAATCCACATCTCTCCCAGAAGCTATGGTATGTTAGTCTAAATTGGGACAAAAGTTCTGTTGATAACCACTTGGGAAGCTGCTATTCTTTATCTATATTATTGTTTTTGTGATATTTGATCCTAACCTTTTCAACCAGCTCAGTCACCCTAGTCATTACAGTGTTTTCTTGGCCCCATGGAGTGATTTGTAGAGTCACAGATAAGAAATTGCCTTATCTACTCACTGCACCTAAATCTGAACAAGCTTTTGATTTAAAATCAATTGACATAATTTAAATTGGGAGTTGGACAAGAAAACATCTACAGTATAATTCGATGCTATAGAAAATTGCAAATTGCTGTGAGGTTTTTCCCTCCTGTTTTGAAGGGCATGGAAATTGGTATTGCCTGAAAATTCAGGCAGTCATCTCTATGAACAGGAAAGAGTGCTGTTATGGTTTATTAAACCTCACTTTGCACTTTATGGTTTCTGCTGAAAACTTCATGGTTCTTTCTGTCAGCCTAAAACTAACTCATCGGTAATCTCACATGCAATGTCATTTTATTACAGTATGCAGGAAAAGTGTCATTCTAAATCCAGCTTTTTTTTTCCTTAGCATCTTTCTTAAATTGTAGAAATTGACAGCGTTTCAAACAAACATTCTCAGTTTACTAACAAACATGTTAGTTTTATCAAGTCAATTTCCACAGACATCCACAAGATAGGAAAAGGGAAGATAGATTAAAGAATGGGTGATGCTTTTTATGGCCCTGTCAGATCAATGGTGATTGTTGTAAGCTTGGTGCAGAAATTGTGGCTCCCCTGGTGGACAGGAGCTTCTGGTCCATCTGAGGTCAGGCTAGAAAGACTGAATTGGAGGCAAGATTCATTGCTGGACAAAATTTCCTTTCTCCACGTAGCAGGAATCAGTGGAGAGTGGTGTAAGATAAACAGGCGAAGACCAAAATCCAGGACTGTCATAATGTATGCCATTAAACCTGAGAAATACTGACCAGGGATTAATTAGGATTTTATATCCTTTAAACCCAAACTTTTCCTGTCATGACTCCCCCTTACCAGTAATGGAATCTGCCTGCGTCCCCCCTTCCATTACTGCACAGTTGGCTCAGCAGAGGAGCTTGGGCTGAAGGCAGAGCTGGGGGTAGAACTGGGGATGGGGGAGGAGCTGGGGCTAGAGATGGATGTGACCTGGGGGTGGAGCGGGTATGAGGGCAGAGCTGGGCTCAGGCTGAAGTGGGGCTGTGGCTGTGGCTGGATCTGGGCTGGGGGTGGAGCGGAGCTGTGGCTGGAGCGGGCTTGTTGGCAGAGTGGGGCTGGGGGCAGAGTGGAGCTGCAGCTGGGGGCGGAGCTAAGCTGGGGGCATATCGGGTCTGGGTGGCGTTCCCCACCTCCTGTGGGGGTTGGCCTGGGCCCCGTCGTGCACCCCCAAACATTCTTCCGTGCCCCCTGGGGGGCCTGCCCCATAGTTTGGGGACCTCTGTTGTAACGTATGGCAGAAAATAGAAAGAAGAATGCAGACACAAACTAAACAAACTGATAAAAAGTGACAGCCAAGCTGCCCCCACTACTTTCCCCTCCAAGTTTTCTACTTTCTCGTACTATGGAAACTACTCACACTGTGTTAACAGTTCTTTCCACAGACTATATCTACTTGAAACAACGCGGTCTTGGACAGTCTCAGTATGTAAACAAGTCAAACTCAAAAAAAGTTTGCTACATTTATGTCAAGAAGAAACTTGTTGCATGCTGGAAAATGTTTCTCGAAGTTCATGGTAGTAGCGCATTAGTCCACTGCAGTTGTTTTGCTGGTGATCTTTTTGTTCCATTGTCACAGCAGTTCTTGTCTAATATCGGTCACCCTGTGCAGAGCAGGAGAAATTCCATGTCTTCTTTTTGGTACAGTTTACATTATATCTCTTTTCCAGCTCATGATTTCAGGTTGATCAAACAGCAGTAAGCATTTAGACAAGTGATCTGATGTGTGTTTAAAATCAGTTCTTTGTAACTTTATGCTGTTAGCACTCTGCTATTGAGTGCCAGTGTATTGTAAGGTGTCCTGCTTCCCTCAGTATATGTCAACGTCTCTTAGAACCATATTTCTTCTAGTGATGTCCAAAATGTATAGGAAAAGTAGGCAAGGTTACAAAGAACCCAAACTACCACTTCTGTGCTTGTCTGAGTCACTGTCTGTGCAAACAGAACTGTGTACTGGTAGTTGTCTATGGAAGAGGATTGAGATCATGGGGCCTCTTAGGCTACTTCTAGGCACTGAATACCTGGGGAAGTCCCAGAGGTTCCAGCCCCTACTCTTGTTAAGATAACACCAATCCTAATTCATGCACTCAGCTCTTCATATAGTTATCGCAGAGGAATCGGATACTTAACAGATACAGCACACTCCATGCATAGGTCTTAAAACATTTCACAAAGAAAGGGGAGGGGTTTCAATATCATTATCCCATATCACAGGTGGAAAACTAAGGCACAAAGAAGGGAGGTGGCTTGCCTTGGGTCACACAGTTGATGGGAGAACTGGAAATAGAACCAATGCATCTTGGTGCCCAGTGTTCTTTCCTCTCCATCCTGTTATGCTGCTTCATTGTTCTTCATCCACTCCTTTCAAACTGTCATGTACTAAGCAGGGCCCTCAGTGACGGTCACAAGGAGGCAGAACTGGCAAGCACTGCATCTGCAGGCAGTTCGTGATACACTAGGGCAACCACCTTTACTATTGTTTTCAAAAATGCCTGTTCTGTGGTGTTTGTGAAAGGGCCTGTTATTGAACAGCAGGCCATGAAACTAACAAAGGTGGCATTTCCTTTGGCCTCATCTATCAGCTTTTTCAGTCTGTTGTTGTCTGTATTCTAATTAAAGGAAATTTACTTTCTGAACAGCAGAGGGAGCATTCAGAAAAGAGATATTTAAGGCGGTATTTAAAATAGGAATATTTAACACAAGAACCTGGGGTAACCCAGTGAAATTAGTAGGCAGCAGGTATCATGAAACAAGAGGAAGTACTTTTTCACATGATGCAGAGCTAATTTGTGAAACTTATTGCCAGGGGAAGTTGTGATGGGCAAAAGTATAACAGGGTTCAAAAAAGAATTAGATAAGTTTATGGAGGATAGGTCCATTAATGGCTGGTAGCCAAGATGGCCAGGAATGCAACCCCATGCTCTGTGTTCCCCTAAATCTCTAACTGTCAGAAGCTGGGTCTGGACGACAGGATGGATCACTTGATAATTGCCCTGTTCTGTTCATTCCCTCAGAAGCATTTGGCACTGGCCACTGTCCGAAGACAAGCTACTGCGCTAAATAGACCATTGTTCTGGCCCAGAATGGCCATTCTTCTGTTCTTATGAATATGGTTTGTAGCAATAAGTCAAAGGCAACCTGGTTTTGCCCAGCTAAGGGCTGTGTATCTAGGTCTGAGAAAGCACCTAGTTGCACAACACTGGTCAGAATGAGCTAACCATTGTTCAGATTGGGATATTGTGAGCAGAAACTCTGTGTTGAAAATGCTTTTTTTTTCAGCCGGTTCCAAGGCTGCATCTCTGCACTGGACGAGTGAGCGAGCTGTCAGCGTCCTCTTGCTGGGTCTCCTCCCTGCAGCCTATCTGTATCCTGGACCTGCCATGGACTATTCACTGGCTGCAGCCCTCACACTCCACGGTCACTGGTAAGCGTAGATGTGAAAACATCTGGTAGATGTCTCACCAGGACCAGCCAGAGCTACTCTTTGGGCTTATAGTCCTGGATGCAAAAGGAGCTGAGCAGCAAATCTGTGTGCATCAGGAAGTTCACATTAGAACACCTGGTAAAACACAAGAGCCAAAACTCTTATTCCTTGTGTTATTGTGACTGGCATCTTGGCCTGTTATAGCCTTGACCAGACTAACACCAGGTAGGGTCTTTGTCATTTTGCCTCTTCAGTTAGAAGGCAGGGTAGATACTCCTATTAGGGGAGCCTCCTTTCACTCTGTCTCCTGTGTTTATTCCCTTATCCATATCTCATACTTTGCAGACAGTAGGAAATCTACCTAAGAGGGACTATTGGCTGTCTTTGGCTAGTAGGTTATATATGGCCTTCAGATCTGAATGTTTCAGAGTATACCCCTAAAGCAGCATCAGGACAGATCTGTGCTTAAATAAGACCTCCAAGGGAAACTCAGGATTTTATTGGTGGCTCTTTTTCCTCAGAGCCAGTACAGATTCTGGGCGTCAGCTTAGCATTAGGGGGCACTGTATTACTGGAGGTGCCATCTTTTGGGTGAGACAAAAATCAGTCTTGACTACACATCCTTGTTAATCCCCTGGCATTTTTGCGAGAGTCAGGATGTTAGTCTTGAATCCTGGCCAGATATCTTTTTGGGTAACTCCACTTTACCTCCCTAAATTCCTTTTTCAGTTTCAGTTGGATACAGTATTTTTCATTTCCTGTGGCTGTATAGCTGTTAAACTGCTGTAAGTTTTCGACCAGAGGATGTTGCATCCATGAGGGTGTGTTTATCTGTTACCTTTCTAAGTCTATGTAGCCCCCATCATTCTAGTAAGTGAGCATTTTCCAAGTTCTTTAAAATGGAAATAGCATCACTCTTACTTTTCAGCCTGTAGGACAAATGGTTTGACACTTTATCAGATTTGTCTTTGTATGTGCGAGTGCATGACTCACTGAAGGGAAGCTAGTCAAATAAACCTTTTTGGCATTTAATTCTGATTGTGCTGAGGCTTGTGGTTTCTATCTGATGTAAGAAATTCTAGGTCAAGCTCCTGTGAAAGTTCTGTTTTCTGCAGTCACAAGCCTCTCCTGACTGATAGGCAGGTAGTTGTCCCTGGAGGTCTCTTAGGTAGCTTTTGCAAGACCAATGGAAGGCTTTGACTGTCAGGACATATTCTGAACTGACTCTCTATTCAGTGAGGAGCCATTGCAGAGAACAGAGCACTGGGATGATGTAGACAGAGACCTGCATTGTTCAGCTAACAAGCTGCTATGTTTTGTACTAGGTGAAATGCTATAAGGGTCTTTGGCTTCATTTTTAGATGTGAGTTGCAATAATCCAGCCTGGAGATAATGAATGTGTGGATTGCTGCGGCCAAGTCTTTGTTTGACAGGAATGGGCAGAGTCTTCTAATCAGCCACAGATGGAATTGTTGTATGCTATGTTGTAGCTGTGTGGGTCCCAGGGTATTAGAGAGAGAAGGTGAGTGAGGGAATATCTTTTATTGGACCAACTTGTGTTGATGAGAGAGACAAGCTTTCGAACTACACAGTTAGCTGTGATACTCTAGTACCTTTCCCAGACCCGAAGAAGAGCTCTGTGGTAGCACAAAAGCTTGTCTCTCTCACCAACACAAGTTGGTCCAATAAAAGATATTCCCTTATCCACCTTGTCTCACAGATGGAAGTGGACATTTTCTGGCATAGTTATTTGGGCATCCAAAAGCATTGAGGAGCCCAAAAGTAGCCTAAGACAATCTGCGGACAGTTGCCCTCAATAGTGGGGGAATATTCTAATAGAGGCAAGTACTTCAGCATACTTCCCTCTTCCTACCAGCCTCAGCCTCACTTGGGTTCAGCTTTAGCCAGCTAGTCTTCATCTAGGTGCTGATTTCAACCAAGTATTGAGTAAGCTTGGAGACATTACTGTTTGCATTTGACATAAAGGAGATATAGAGATGGCTATTTCAGTACTGCTGACACTTCAGCCCAAGTTGTCTCACCAACTTTTTTAACAGCTTCTTATAGATATTATTGATAAAGGCGTGGGGAGAAGATAGAGCCTTGTGGAACTCTCCAGGTGAAGGCTTTTGGCGGTAGAGGAAGCGTGTCCCATAATAATCCTCTGGGTTTAGTTTTAGGGGAAGAATCTGAGTTGTCCTAGGAGTATCTGTTCCCACTTCAGCTTCTTGGAGATGGGACAGGAATCTTTGGTGATGAGCCAGTATTAGATACCCGAGACCAGTCCCTCAGTATTATGGATGTACTTCCTTTGTCCACAACCAGGTAATCTTCCAGTGCAGAAAGTTCTCTCTCTTCACTAGGTCCTGGCTAAGAGGGATCAGGGATACTGGCATGTGACAGGTAACATTGGAGACTGACTAGCTGCTAGATTAGTTTGCTTAGGAAAAAGGGATCAGACACTGTGAAGTCTTTGGTGTCAAGCAGTGGTTTATTCTAATATTGGTTGGCATATTGCCTGGGTTAGGGTGCATGGTAGAGTTTTCTAAGTTTTAGAATTTAGCAGGATCCCAAGAATTTTCAGGCCTGGGGTTTGGTTGTGGTGGTTTCTTGCCTTGTGACAGAAAGCTTTTTTCCCTACCTGGAGGTCAGACATGAGTGTGTGTGTGTCATACTCATTCCATAGTGTGGCTGTGTATGCATGCATCCAAAAATTACCTACGGTGGAAAGTTTGAATAGGAGACATTGGGTGATTGTTTTAGTGACATGGTCATCCATATAAATGTTGAAATCTGTCAAGATGATGAGTCTTCCGACTTTCATCACCAGGTTAGTATAGTCTCTCTTTTTGCAGATGAAGCGGACTTTAGCTTCAGAGAGCTTCTCCTACTTTTTAGCCAGGAGGGGAGTAGATTGGCTACTTCATCTCCAGATTTGTCCTCCGTCATGCTGTGCTGAAGAGAGTATGAGGGGGAGAGGAGCAAAGAAGCAAGGGAAGATGACACTGAAACTGCTGTATCAGTCTGCCAGGTTTCTGTGATGTAGTTCAGGCTTGGCAGCTCATCGGTGAGACGTCCGTGGATAGTGAAGGACTTATTGATCACTCATCTTGAATTTACGAGGCTGAGATCCTGAAGTTTGTAGGTTTGTGTTTTGTTTGGCCCATGTGAAATATCTGTTTGCTGACTGCAACGGATTGACTGTAGTTGTTTAGTCATCTTCCCCATACACTGGAATTTGCTCTGTTCACTTCTTCCTGTTGGGGAGGTCCACAGGTGTGAGGTAGGCCTAATTGACAATGTTGCCATTCTTATGGTGTGCCAGATGTCTAGAAAGTGGCAGACTGCTCAACTCTCCAGGTGAGTGAGGTAATATCTTTTATTGGACTGACACGGTTGCAACAACATGGCATACAACTCCCCAAGGGTCAGAATTAAGGTGAATTGTTAGGTATCGCTTGTATATCAGTTGGAAGAACACTTTGGGATTCTCTGGGTTGAAAGGTGCTCTCTAAATGTAAGCGAAATTTACTGAGAGGTCTTCAGTGCTGTGCCAGACCCCTGTACTTTGCTGAATGGCAGAAGCTCCCCCTGCAGCTGTGAAATCTGGATCCTGCCTACTTGCTGCTCTTCTGAAACATCACCACTGTTGGGAATTCTTTCACAAAATAAAATTATCAGGGCCGTGGGAAGTCTTGAAATGAAGCCAGATTTAAGAATTTTTCTGCTGAGGTGTCTGCATCCTGCGTGGGTGAGCCTTTCACTCGGACAGTGGTGGTTCCTGTTTTAGGGGATATTACATATGACATGGCATGGTTTCTAGGAGGATCCTGACTTGTACTGTCTGAGTTTCCTCGTGAGTAAAAATATATGCAAATGCTGACATTTCTTCCTTGACTATCTTGTGGTGACTCTGCAAAGAGTAGGACAGTAAATTCTAAACTGGATGTCGACAATAAAAAAAACCTTTTTTGTGCAGACAATTAGGGGTTTTCCCCAGCAAAAAAACAAGAGCCAACTTGTTCGGTTTTACTTCCCTATTGCTGCAGGATAAACGCTGTTTGTCCTGTCTTATCTGTTATAACTCATGGAGAAAGGCCACAAAATGAAACCCTCCCCTTGCACATGGAGTTCATAGTTTGAAAATGTTTCTCTGGTAGTAAGAAACTCTCCACTTCCAAAGCAAAGGTTGCAGGGGCTTACGCTGTTTAGACATCTGTAGGGGAGCTGAACTTTCAGTTACTAAGATGTCTAAGAACAGCAGGCTTGTTGTGCTGGTGACCTGGGTGTGTCAGTCATGCCATCCCTCTGTTTCTTCTGTGATGGCTGGAGGTAGGAATGTGCAAGACTCCTGTGCACCCCCGTAGGGTGTTCTCCTCATCCCCTCCTGTGGAGCTGGGATTTTATTACATTTGCAGCCGTTGCTTTGGACCTGAAGTGCATCATTGCTGCTAGGACAATTTAAAAAGGGAAGACTATTTAGGCTACTGTAATCCCAGTGACAAACTAGAGAGCCCATACTAATGGCTGATCTGAAACTCCAGCATTTGCAGACTTTTCCTCTGGTTTTTCTCCTTTGCTCTCACTTGGCATTTTGGGGGTGTGCTGAAATCCTGCGTCCTGGCTCTGCACTGCACCTTCATACATTCAGACCTTCAGGTATAAATCTCTACTCAGAAAGTTGTTGTAAACCACATGCAAAACACACTCTCCTGACAGGCCAACCATGATGATTGATGAAGTGAGTGTCAGTACAAACATCTAACTTTATTTGCACAAGAAACCTGAAGTCACTTAGATCTTGGACCAAGCTTCTTTGGCATGTAATATTTATAGGCTGACTTTGCCATTCAAAGCAAAAAACAGTCGGAGGTTAAGTTATCTATGGTGCAGTCATAGGGCTGCCAGTGGATACATAGTTGCTCTCCTTGTGTTTTATGGGGCTTTATACAGAACAGCCAAGGGTGCAGATAGGTACCACTCAGACCCCCCCCCCCCCCCCCCCCAGTGGCAGTACATAGCTCTAGCAAAGGGGTCGGCAACCTTTCAGAAGTGATGTGCCGAGTCTTCATTTATTCACTCTAATTTAAGGTTTCGCGTGCCAGTAATACATGTTAACATTTTTAGAAGGTCTCTTTCTATAAGTCTATAATATATAACTAAACTAGTGTTGTATGTAAAGTAAATAAGGTTTTTAAAATGTTTAAGAAGCTTCATTTAAAATTAAATTAAAATGCAGAGCCCCCTGGACGGGTGGCCAGGACCTGTAAAACAGGTATCTCTTCCCCGTCCCCCAGTGGCAACTGCTTTAGCATAGTGAATCCTGCTAGATCTTTAGGGCTGTTACTGTTCCTTAGTTTGAATCTGAGAGATTTCTCAGACTCCTTACTATGTGGAGACAAATCATGGGAACCAGCCAAGACTTTCCAACGTGTCTCTGAAATGTAGTCTTACATTTTACAAGGTGAACCTAGCAGTGCAGAAGGCTAAGGTTGCTTAGCCTTTGGCATTAAAGGTGCCACATCAGTGTAATAAGATCCTGCAACAGGAGGACAAGGGAAAACTTTGCATATGGATCAAAGTGTTGACTGCCATAGACACCATTCAGACATTCTCAGGAGAATTCTAGGGTCTGCCAACTTTTTGACCTAATATGAGTCTTTGAGATCATCCAGGCTCCCTGTTTGTGTCCCAATGCCTGGCATCCTTTGTACATAGGGAGAAGAGACTGGGATCTAGCATTCTCCTGACTGTAGAGGAAGCACAGTGTTTCCTGTGATTTCTTTCTCTAGTGGAACAGCATCTCTCACTGTCCTCTGCCCCCGGGAGTGAAATTTACTTATTAACGGAACAGCTCTTAGCTGCCTGTTTCCTAGATACTGTTAAAAGGGTTGATTAGCCAAGTTTTATTTGGCTCAGAAATCACCAGTCAGCACAAACGTCCTGTGAGTGCCTACAGCTGCTTGCTGAGTAGGAAGTGGGTCCTTTTCTCCAGCAAAAGCCTCTGAGTAGTGGAGGCACGTAGCTCAGTTTAGGAGATGATGTGCAGACTGAGAAATGTGAGTATTACAAGGGCGTTAGTTGCTGGGAAAGTTTCCATAGATGATGGCCAGGAGAGCCAGCCAGATTTGATTAGGGATTGCTCTGGTCTCTTTTCAGCATGTTTCTCTTTCTCTCTTTGTAGGGGTCTTGGGCAGGTTATAACTGACTATGTCCATGGGGAGACATCTATTAAACTGGCCAATACAGGTCTGTATGTACTCTCAGCTGTGACCTTTGCAGGCCTCTGCTACTTCAACTATCATGATGTGGGTATCTGCAAGGCTGTGGCTATGCTGTGGAGCCTCTGAGATGCAACCAAACTGCTGGCAAAACATGATTGTTCACTGCTGCCTCTGCTTCATCATATTGTTACTAAATCATTCAATGAGAGAAAAACAGTAATTAAGGGTACATAGTGCATGGGTAGAAATCCCAATGCCGAGTCATCTAGAAATCTACAATTTGAGCTGGCTCCTTATTGCAAAAACTAATATCAATAGCAAAAAATGGGCTGGAAGTGGGGTTCTGCCAGAAGAGAAGAGTTAGGCTGATGTGAACTGGATTCAGACAAGAGTGAACTAATGAAGCTGCGGTGTAATTGGGGGTGAATTAGTAGTTTATTGTATCAGGAACAATCTTGGATGGCTGAAACTCATTTTTCTCTTTCAGTGGCTGCATTGTTTAGATTGTTGCAATGTAATTACTGTTTAATTTCCCATTTTGTAAAATGAATTTGGCTGTGGGAAGGTTCAACCTTTGTTTCTAATGTTACAATTAGTGAATTGTACACAAGGTGCCTCACATAATGTTCTGAGTGGGCCCTGAGAGTCAGTGTGAAAAAGGAAGACTTTTTGTTAATCTACAATAAAGAATTTACAAACGTTGGGTGTGTCTGTGATTCTGGCAGTCATTTTTATCCGCTATTAACAGTTAAAATCTTCTCACCACTCTTTATCTTGAAGAAGGTATTATTTTAGGAAGAAGACATTGTTTATGCAATGTTTTGAATAGATCCAGTGCTGAATAAGTGCTAAGTGTTGTTTCTGAGACTATCCTCTGTTTAGAAACCATCCTAGACCCAGAAGGAAAGAATGTTTCAGTGCAACTTACTTTCCAGGACTCATGAGCTGCGTGCGGTTTAACGGTTCAAATGGAAATTGTCTGTTTCTGCCAGCAGCATTCTCTCTAATGGAGAAAATATAACCGACCCACCTACCCGCTTTTCCTGAGTGCTGCCTGTGTGATTCCACAGGGGACAGACAGTGTTGAATTCAAACAGCAAATAATTCATCCCTATCTGCTTTTTGTTTAAATCTTTGGTTTCATTCCAAACTTCCTTCCTCTTCGAGAATTTTCTTTGCAAGTAACCTTGACATTATTCTACATTGGCATGTAATTTAAATGGCTACATCATTGACTTTCTGATGCCAGGAACTGTCAAGGGTGTGATGTCCTGGGCAACAAAACCTTCCCCTTTTTTTTTTAGTTACATTTGTGTCTGTTCAATAACCTGTTCAAATTATCCTGTCTATAAACCACTCTAAATGTATTCAGAACTTATTATAATTGTAGCTTGTATAGTTTTCCTCTTCCATAATCATCAAAGCATATTTATTGGGTCACTGATAGTGGCACTCCAGTTTGAGGGTTCACCTCAAACTGCTGCTTCCAGCACAGAATATCTCTGTTTAGCTAAAACTTCCAGTAAAAATTATTTCTGCCTTAGTAAACCCAGCAAAGCGAGTTATAACATAAATAAAGTTGGTATGGTCTGGCTTTAAAAAGCCCCTTGAAAACAAAGCATTTGATATAAAGGAAAATATTTTCCAAAACCTTTGACACACATGTTTTGACAATGGAAATAAATGTCCAGTATCACTCAGAAATGGGAGGGGGGAGGAGTTCATCATAATATAATGCTAACATGGCACTTTGTTCTTAATAAAATGTAAAAGGGTTTGAGATGGCCACTCCTCTGCTAACACTTCCCTCTGTGATTTCTTGTCTGACGCTTTATTAAAAAAAAAAAAAAAAAAACTCCAACCTATGTGAAGAGGGGCCATATTCTGCCATCTTATGTGGATTTCAAACTCTCTGCAAAATCATACTTATTTCTTTGTTAATAAATAGGAAAGAAAGTGATCTCCTCTGACTTACATGCTCATTGTGGCCGTGTAGAGGTTTCCAAAGCCCAGGTTAATAGAGGGCCGGGGGCATTTATACGGGACTTTTCAAGCAAGAAAATTGACTACATTTATTTTTACTGTCAGTCTCGTTAACTAATAATTGGAAATATGAAGTTGTTTCATGATACCCAAGATGGTTTTAAATTTTTAATTCCTTTCTTGACTACTAAGATTTACACATAAGGTCTAAATCTCATTTGTTTTAGAATCTACTCAGCATTTTAGGGTAGTGTCAGGATAAGAATTCAGATATGGATGTTCCTGTGTGAAATAGAGTGACTGCTGCTGGCTGCCTGTCAGTATAACAACAGCAAGGAGTGACTGAAGAAGTGAGGTTTTTTACCCACAAAAACTTATGCCCAAATAAATCTGTTAGTCTTTAAAGTGCCACCGGACTCCTTGTTGTTCTTGTGGATACAGACTAACACGGCTACCCCCTGATACTTGTCAGTATAATGGCTTCCTGCTTGGGAGGATGCAGTAGACCTAGAAATGAGTCATCTGTAGTCATTTATGGGATCTTTGCCAACTTGCACAATAAACATTTGAATGATAATGGGCCCCAGCTGCGTTCTTGAGGCTGGTGTGAAAAATAGGGGTGAGAGCCTGCTCTGAATTGATTCACACTCACTGTCCCCCATAGGTGTAGTTTGACTTCTATATTTGGGGGTGCAGCTCCAGTCACACCAGTGGAGCCATGCGTGGAGGGGAAATTCCATGCCTGTGGTTTGGAGGGGAAACTCCCCCATTCCATTAGATGCAAATTTCTAGCCTTTTATAAAGTGTTTGTTATTGTCACTAAGGGCTTGTCTACACTGGCACTTTATAGCGCTGCAACTTTCTCGCTCAGGGGTGTGAAAAAACACACCCCTGAGCGCAGCAAGTTTCAGCGCTGTAAAGCGCCAGTGCACCAGCGCTGGGAGTCACCCCCCTCATGGAGGTGGGTTTTTTAGAGCTCTCTCCCAGTGCTCTGCCGCGACTACACAAGCCCAGTGTAGACTAGCCCTAAGTAGTGGAGGTGGTGCTGCAGCCTAGCCCTGTCTCCCGCTGTGTGATCACAGGTGTGTCAGAAGTGTACTCCAAAGACAACTGGGTCTGGGCTGAGTCTAGTCCCAGTTTCTAGCTCTTGGTTGTAGAGTTTACATTCAGCTTCAGCCCTCTTGTCTAACCCCTTCCTCAGGATGTGGCACTCTGCAGTCCAGCTGCCTCAGACCTTGCATCTGTGTCTCAGATCTCCCACCGTTTTCACACCCTCCCTCCCCCACTTCTACCTAGCTGTGGGCACTCTGCATTCTAGTTTAACCCTTTTGGGGACCGTGTGATAGGAAAGCAAGGAGCACAGGCTTAGCCAAGAAGTTTCTTAACAGTCAACGCTCTTATAAAGCACCAGAGAGCGAGTAAAATAAAAGTCCTGAGATGCCTCCTCCCCTAATTCGACCTCCACCCTTCTGGGAGTCTGAGGTTGGGACAGCATTTAGGCTAGGCAGGGTCCCTCCTGCTGATATATGGTGATGGACAGCCCACCTTTTTCAGGCTCTGTCTAACTGTGAGCTAGGTAGCTTGATGAGTGTTAGCTAGGGTAGCAGGGCTGAGTATGTACCCGCGGGTTTCAGGAGTGTTTGTACACAGCATGGCTAAGACATGCTGCTGCTGCCCTTGATGCTGCAGCTACACTCCTTATTTGGACTTGTGCGCTAGCTTTGGCAAGTATTGGGAAATCACACCCCTACCTTGTAGGGGAGATGTGGCCTCTGATAACACCCCCTTTTTAAATGCAGTTTCTTCCCCTTTAGCTATGTGCCTAGGCTGACAAGGTTAGCCATGTGGTCAGCTCCTAGTACAAAACGGAGTCTGTCGGACCCGGACCGAGACCCATCCTGTTACGGCACAGATGGATAGAAAGACAGCGAGTCTTCCTCATGGGAGTCTGCAAAATCTACTTCAGTTTTAAATGCTGTGATAGAGGGAGACACAAATGGACACTTGGTTAAAAAAAAAAAAAAAAATCAAAAGGTTCATTTAATTCCAAATTTAATACTTAATTCAAAAAGTTGGCAATGACAATCTTATGCAAAGACTTGCTTTTTTTGGAGAAGGCATTGTGGTAAATAGCAGCCTTACCATAGAAGCCCTGCTGTAACTAGTAACAGACATTAATCTCTCTGATTATAGAATTCCTAAGCTCCATGTCCACCAGTTTATTTTGTTTCTATATTTGCTCTCAGCTGCAGCTAAGAATTGAAAAGTATCAATCCTGGAGCCAATAAACTCAGCACCAACCCTGAGGAACTTAACTCAGTGGCCGGAGGCTGTGTGTTTGAGTGGTTACAGAGAAGGGTTACACAGTTTAGCACAGAGATAGTAATAAAAGTTGTATAAAAATGGCCAAGAAATTGCTTGTGTATGATACATTATCAAATCAGTTTATTTAGGGGATAATAATATGTGTGGATTCATCCACACGGTCTTCATCACATCGCTTTAAAATCAGTTTGCTTAAATTCTCTCCTTTCTGAAAGGCCAAGAAGTATCCTCGCATTAGTGAAGATTCAAATTTGAATGCTTGTGTGTCTGTTGGTGAAATTGACTTTTGGATGAAGATGATGTCGCTGCTGTTTTCCAGAATTTCTCTGGGAACTTCTTCTTCCTGAAATGGAGGAAATATGCAGAGTAACTACCAGTGCAAAAACTTGACACTTGCCTGTAGTTTTCACATCTCTAACTCAAGAACAGTTTATCATGTTCTAGCAGAGGGTTTCTCATAACAAATTTTTTGGTTGCCTCAGAGTGCGGCCACCAACTCTTGCTGGTGGCTGCTCTGACAATTTTTCCAAGCTGGAGCACCACTGCCGCAAGGCTGAAGCCCAGAGCTGGTCCCAGGGGCTGGAGCTGGGGAGGGCTGAAGTCCAGAGCCCACCACTGGACTGGTACTGGGGGTGGGGATGGGGAGGCTTAAGCCCAGAGCCCCGGGGCTGAAGCCAGGGAGGGAGGGGTACTGAAGCCCACTCCTGGAGCCCCAGCGAGCTGAAGCCCGAAACCCTTCTGCCCCGGGGAAGGTGGGTTGGGAACTCACCAGGTGCCTGCGGTGTTGAAGGTTCCTCCCCCACCGAGCACACACCATGGCCCCATGTGCCTGAAGATGTGCTGCCTGGAGTCCCCAGGAGGCTGTGCAGTGCATGGCACCAATCCCCTGCTGGTGGTGCCAGCAAACATCAAGGCAGCGCATCCAAGAGCAACAGCTGGAAGCTACAGGGAGGGGCTGCTGCTTTGCCCCCACATCCCCATCTCCGCCTGTACGCGGAGACTTTGGCAAACCAGTAAAGTGATTAAAACCACTATGGCTTATTGTTAAAGACAGCCTAGTCAGCAAGCTGTAAATTGGCCATTCAGCAGTCTCAGCTTGACCAAGGCAGGAGGGAAGGGGGTTTTGGGTGCCTCAGAAAGGGCAGCTTGACGCCACATCCTTCCTGATAAAAATTGTGTTAAAGTTGCTGATACATGCATTTGAAAAGAGCAGGATGTACCCTCAGGAATGTCTATTGGGGTCTCAAGGCTGCAGGCTCTGGAAAAACCCACACCTGGTTAATCAATAATCAGAAGGAACCTCTTGCTTGCCCATTGGAACTGTTTGCTTGACAAGTTTTCTTTAAGGGACAAGTCATTCTATTACTAATGTATACATAAGGGGGAAAAGCTTGAGATAGGGGCACTCTTCGGGACTGGTCTCTCCCTCTGGATGCATCTTGTGTTCCCCACCGGCAGATGGGCTGCCACTGTGCCACTCAAGAGTCACACTCAGCTTTGGTAATTATCAAGGGTTGGGGGTGTTTTACTAATCTTGTTGCGGACGTGTGTAAGTGCTTGAACCTAAATAAAGGTTAGCTTTAAGTGAAAGCACTCTTGTGTTGTCCTATTTGTGCCAGCCATCTATCAGCCGAACGGCCGTGTCTCCCCTGATTTATTTCCTGACACCTTCTCGCACAGAGTAAAAGTTACCAAGAGCTTTGGGTTGAAAGAACCCCAGGTAACACACCCATGAGGCTGTTGTGGCTGCAGAAAAATCCCCTAGTGGCTGCATTTGAGAAATGCTGTCTAGCATGTTTTATTTTTTTTCTTAATTTGGGTTCCTGATGTAACTGTTGAGTAAAGGCAAACACTGGACACAGAGGGAGTTACTTACCCTAAATCGAACAGTCTTTTCCCCACCTTCATGTGTGCAGTACATACAGTAAGTCTTGTTTTCTACCAGGATGCTGAATGCCACGGACATCCCGTCCTCAAATCTGTTGTCTTCATAATAGTGGATGGTGAAGTGCACTCCGCATCCTAAACACAAAGTACTTACTATTAGGAGCCTGTGCGGAAAGAGTTTGCAAACAGCTATTTAAAAACAGACGTAAAGGGGTTCCAACAGTTTTATTATCCAGGCATCTTACTACTCCACCACAAGCAGCCTCTGTCCATGGCCCTCCTTACAGCTGAATGGAGCTGGGATTTGTTTTGTGTACTGTCCTGTGACTGCTGATGACAAAAATTCAATTGGACTTCTGTGGGCAAAACAGTTAAGGGCTAGAGAGTGTGATGTCAGTGTGCAAATCCCTTGGAGCACATGCATAAGGTGAGGGTTGCATTTCCTTCTCATGTTGGATGTAAATAGGATCTGAAAATCTGGCACTGAATGAATAACTGAAAAAAGTGGGGACATGTAGAGATGGTGCTGATCCACACCAAAAGAGACTGACTAATTGCTCTTAGTGCCAGATACATTGCCTTGCTTGTTCAATATAAAATGATGCTTCTCACTGACACTTAATACAAAATGGGGATTCAGAACTTTGCTTGTGACAGAGGTCCACCAAGCTTGGTGGCTTTAGAAATCTTTGCAGCACCTTCCTAGTCCTTGGGCTTCGTTTCAGGCTATAGAGCCACATGCCTCTTTCATGGGTGTGGTTCAGGACAATATCTGGGGGGTGGGAGGAATTCCCTGATCTTCTGTCTGCCCACAGCTAGAACTTCTGATCTTTGGCTTCTGCTGTGATGTGAAGCTGTACTCAGATTGGCTGACCCCCAAAATGTGCAAAATCTTTTCTGGAGGGGATTGATGTCTTTTATCTGAGCTTAGCTCTATTCTTAGCTGGCATTAAAGACAAACTACAATTACTAGAAACTGTTGCTAAACTCAGGTCTATCTGAGGTAATCCAAGAGCTACATGGGGCAAAAGCGTACCTGGAATGAAGAGCTGGGGCAATGGTTATAGGACATGTAGAAGCCAAAAGTATCATACCAGGTCTCATCTCTTGATCTGTCATAGGCTCAAATACACTCATGACAGCATTCTCTGGTCCTTTCCGTACCATGAGTACCTGATTAGATATGTTTCGAAAGATCTGGTCATGTAGGGCGTGGGTTGCCTTCTTCCAGTAGTCGCACTCCAGACCTTTTAATATATACATTAATCAGACAGTCACAACTAACTCCACTCTTCCCAGAAACAACTAGGGACTTTGGCATAGTCCAAAGAGTGCCAGAAAGCCCCTTTAGCCTGTCTCCTGACCTAGTTCCACACAAAATGGTTGGTGGTGCCCACCTTATAACTTTTAGCTGAGTGGTTCGAGCACTCAGCTGGGATGTGGGAGGCCCAGGTTCAGTTCCCCCCTCCCTGACAGAGGGGAAGAAAGGATTTGAACAGGGGTATCCCACCTCTCAGGAGGATGCGCTAACCACTGAAGAATGGGATATTCATTCTGATGTGGGGTTCCCTCCATCTCTCCTGTTGAAGCTGTTCCACCATGGATAAATAATGAAAGAGTGATTGGAGCAGGTGGACTGGCCCCGGGGTCTTCTGCCCCTCGGGGGGGTGTCCAAAGAGCTGGGCGCTAGACTCATTCTCTTGCTCTCTGGCCAAATGACTCTTTCATTATAGAAATTATAGAGTGGGCAGAGGCAGCACCGCCACCTCCTCCTCCTCCCTTGGATTTTGAATGGGGCCGATTCAGTAGGTGTGCTCAGAGGGCGCCAACTGGCTTGGGCCTCTTGGGTGAGGCACTCAGCCACTTATCATCTCCCAGTTTGTGAATCACTCCGGGGCTTAGGTGGGAGGTAGGTGTCTGAACGCCTAGTGTGAGGCAGCAGTGTGGGCCCTAGAGGCAGAAACTTAGGCATCTAGGGAACCTTCTACTCTGAAAAACTTAGGCACCAAATGAGTTTAGGTGCTTACTGGGTTTGGTGGATCGCAGCAGGGTCTTAAGTTGATTAGTGGATTCCATCTTTACTCTCGTCCCCAAACTGCCCACCAACCAGTTTGTGCTCAGGGAGCAACCTCCATGTGATAGACTGAAGAGCCCTGCTCTCCATGTTCCGTCATTGGAAGATGGCCCAGGATGTGCATTTGCTCTTCCAGTTTAGACTTCAGAAGAGACGGCTGAATACAGGTAAGGACAGTGGGTGGAGTACCCTATAGGTGGCCTTTCCCCAATCCTCACAGCCACCTGGGTGCCAGGTGAGCTGCTCCAGCTGCAGAACATCTTTGACTTGGAGTCACTTAATGAACTCAGGAAGGAGGGAGTTTTTCCCATGCCCACCATTCGTGTGTTAAGGTCACCACCAAACACTGATGAACACCATGTTGGGGGGGAGATTAGCCAACCGTGTTGGGAATGGCAAGCCGCTCAGCGCTAGTGGAGTACAGAGTCATAAATGTCAAGCAAATTTCAATTTTACCTTCATCATCTGTGTTCCAAGCGAGCGACGAAAGGGGAGAAGAGAAACAACTGTTAGACTGTATACAAACAACAGATCATTTTCTAACCAGTTTCATTCCCCAGTGTCAGTTGGAAAGCCCTCCTCCACCACAACCATCACCCCTTCCCATTATCCTTTCTCTGGAGATGTCGTATAAGCAGCAAGTGGCCCATCAACCGAGGTACTGAGTCTGCAGTGCTCCAGATTGATGCTTATGAGGATACTGAAGTGAAATCAGAACAACAATGATTTAAAAACAATTCAGCATTTTAATAGCTGAAATTATAGAGGGCTCAAGCCAGGTCTACACGACAGACTATCAAAATAACGACATCGCTCAGGGATGTGGATGAACTATGCCGATGGGAGAAGCCCTCCTGTCAGCGTAGTAGTGGCTTCACTAAAGCCCTACAGTGATGCAGCTGCACCGGAACAGCTGCGCTGTAGCACTGTATGTGAAAACAAGCCCTTAGACTGTTCACTTGAATCTCCAGAAACAGGTTTGGCTCCATTAACTTCATAAAGAGCATGCTGGGAAGGCTGGCTCAGAGACCCAGAACCCTGTCCAAGTAGAAAGCCTAGCTTCACCTGCCAAATTATCATTCGCCAAGCTGTAGGGATCAGCATTGCTCTGAAGGTTATGGAGAAGCAAAGTGGGAGGCTACAGAAGTACATAAGTCAACCCGAGCAATGGATTGAATTGCCTGGCAAGTGCTGGTCAGCTGCACAGAAATCCCAAAATGCACACCCCATCCAGATATAAAAGACAAGAGTTACCTGCAAAATAGAGGTAAGAATCTTGCTCAAGTGTCACTGCAAACACGCGGATCTCTTCACAGCTCATCTTCGCTCTGAACAGATCGAAGAGAAAGGGTTCAGAGATGGGAACAATACTTCTCACCCTCCAGATCTAGAGGGCTAACTTGGGCCAGTTCTCTGCTCTGTGCACAGTAATGCCCACAACAGGGCTGGGAGGGAGACGGAAGTGTTACCACTTAGTACAGGGGAGAGGGCAGACTGATTTTTATTTTATTTTACTTTTTGTAGTGCCTGCCATAGACTCTTGAGTATCTGTTTCTCCATTACCTTGTACCTTGTGTCATTTAAACCAGTGTATACTGGATGTAAAATAGTAGAATTATGGTTTGATTCTGTTTTACACTTTTTCACTCTTGTGGTGTAAATGAGGTCACAAGATGTAGGGCAACAAAGACTAAGGCCCGGAGTGCTTTATGCTAATTAAACAATAGTTCATACAAATTTGTAAATGTCACTCACTTAATGAATTGCTCATAAGAAACCTAAAATGGTGATAGCTCAGCAAAATGCCATGTCACCATTTAATCTTCCCTACTGTGCCTGCAAAAAGTTATGTTATCTTGTGTGCATTTGGTTTACTCTTTCCAATTTGGGATCCTATGGGATCTTAGTGTGACCTATAAAGTTTTAGGGACTGGGCTGGTGCAGTGCTCCCAGCAGGGAAGGGGGATGTAATTTATTTTGCAGTGGCAGAGATTTGCTCATGGGCAGGTTTTTAACCATATTTTTAGTCCAAGTTGAATTCTGGCTCTGTGACCTTGATGCGACCTCTTTAAAGAGAGCCAGCAGACATCTAGAAGAGGAGGCTAAAATGTTTCACCCAGAGGATAACAAACTTTATTTACCAAAAGACTTACATCTTCAAACCTGGAGATTATCTCCACAAACCTGCTTGTAGTTCCGCTCCCCTGCCTTCATGGCTAACTTGAAACTACGGAGGTGTGCCTAGATCGTTCATGTTCTTACAGGTTCATGCTGTGCAACAGCCTCTTCAAGTGACATTGTATGGTGGTCAGATGAGTAGACTTTGCCCTCTCCTACCTAAAGGCAAGGTGAGCCAGAGCTGCTGCTGACGCATGTGCCCAGACCAGTAATGGCCATAAAACTGCCAGGCCTGTTCATTTTACATACAGCTACCCACCCTCTTTTGTTTTGTTTGACATCAGATTTTATAGGTTGATTTGAGGAGAGACTGTGCAGGTCACAAACATCCCTGTCTTCAGTGCTAGCAGCATGTCAGGAAAGGCGTATGGGATGTGGTCATCTGTCTTGCCTGGGATTTGACCCATGAGTTTCAGGATTCCAAATCAGCAATTCCATTGCTGTTAGTACTATCAGGCCTGGTCTACACTAGGACTTTAATTCGGATTTAGCTGCCTTAATCCGAATTAACCCTTCACCCGTCCACACTACAGAGCCAGTTAATTCGAATTAAAGGGCCCTTTAAATCGATTTCTGTACTCCACCTCGACGAACGGAGTAGAGCCTAAATCGATTTTGTTAATTCGAATTAGGGTTAGTGTGGACGCACACCACCGAATTACTGTATTTAAGTTAATGGGGTAGTGTGGCCGCACACCACCGAATTAATGTGGTTTAAAACCGAATTAAGGTGCTTAGTGTGGCCGCGCACAATCGAATTTATACAACCTGTTTCCCAAATTCGAATTATCTAAATTCGGATTAATCCTGTAGTGTAGACATACCCTTAGTTGTCAATGGTGACAACTCAAATACTCTGGTGACCAGAAGAGAGAGACCAATCCACATAGGCGCGTATGCATGGGCACATTTCTTGGTTGCACAGTGCAGTACACCAAGTCTGGCAAGAGGCTGGGATATTATAGAAGAGCTTTTAAAAGCTAAAGTGCCCCCCAAAAAATAAACTATTGTACAGTTTAAGAAGTGATCTGCTAATTTATAGCAAAAGTTGGCATTAAAACTCTTGCCCATTAGAGTACTGCTACATTTAACCTTTTCCTGCTTGCTCTCCTGCTAATCCAGCAGTGACTAAACTCTACCAGAAGAGTATCAGAGGGGTAGCCGTGTTAGTCTGGATCTGTAAAAAGCAACTGAGAGTCCTGTGGCACCTTTAAGACTAACAGATGTATTGGAGCATAAGCTTTCGTGGGTGGAAATTTCCATTACATGCGTCTGACGAAGTGGGCATTCACCCACGAAAGCTTATGCTCCAATACATCTGTTAGTCTTAAAGGTGCCACAGGACTCTCTGTTGCTTTCTACCAGAAGAGTGAGTTTCAGACACACCCAATTTCAGATGTCCTTAATTAAATCTCCAGTGTTTGTTCTTCCTCTTGGCAATTGAGATTGCTGTTCCTATTGCTTGAGACTCCTCATGTAAGTAAATATATTGAAAACTAGGTAGATCCGATCCCCAAATCACCATGAACTGTAGGGTGACAGACATCCTCAATGGGATCTCTTCACTAGATGGTTAACTGTCTAGCTAACTAACTAGAAACAAGACACAATCTTCTGTAATGGATTGCCAATAAGTGTCTACAATCAAATCAATTACTAAATTATAGTTCCCAAAAGGTCACGGGCCTAAAGTTCATATTCCCCTCTCCAGTGTCAGAGGTGTTAGTCACACTTTAATCACAGTGAGTAGTAAGCATATAAGGAGGGTAAGAATTAGCTTCTTAGCTCTCTGGCTATATTGCTGTAGAAGTAAACCCACAATCTGTAATCTCCAAGATGAGGTACCTAACTATGTATTGTTATATGCTGAATTCTTCACAGGTATATGCAATTTTTCACACTGTACATACATTTCTCTGAAATGTTTGTTCTATAAAAATGTACTAATCATTTCCCTCTTCCTGTTAACACTAATGATGTGAGATGGCTCTAGTTTGTTTGTTGGGGAATGCTGTAGTAACACCCAACTCATGCATGCTTCCAAAAGTATATCTCATAATCTAACTTGCTTTCACTGAGGTTTCAGATGGAGTTAACTAATTCTCCACTCATGGGCAAACTACAACTTGGTATAAGTGTTAGAAGGATTTTCTATGAGAAGTGCTCAGCTAACTTGGTATGGCTGTAGGAAAGGTTTCAGAGTAGCAGCCGTGTTAGTCTGTATCCCCAAAAAGAACAGGAGTACTTGTGGTACCTTAAAAAGAACAGGAGTACTTGTGTCTCTAAGTTAGTCTCTAAGTTAGTCTCTAAGGTGCCACAAGTACTCCTGTTCTTTTTGCGGATACAGACTAACACGGCTGCTACTTTGTAACCTGTGGTACCTTAGAGACTAACAAATTTATTTGAGCATAAGCTTTGGTGGGCTACAGCCCACTTCATCGGATGCATAGAATGGAACATATAGTAAGAAGATATATATACATACAGAGAACATGAAAAGGTGGAAGTTGCCATACCAACTCTAAGGGGCTAATTAATTAAGATGAGCTATTATCAGCAGGAGGGAAAAAATTTTTGTAGTGATAATCAAAATGTCCCATTTCAGACAGTTGACAAAAAGGTGTGAGTTGAAAAAAAGGAGTTGAAGTGGGCCTGATTTCATGAATACTCCCTGTAAGGGAACTTTCTTTCCAAGATGCCAGCTAGGTTGGTAAATTTGCACAGAGTGGGGCTTCCACGGGGATATAGGTTTGTATTCTGTACCCCCACTTTTCACCATCACTGATTGAAAAGAGGATATGTGCAAGAAGGAGATACCAACACTTTTCTTCCTCTGTGCCCCAATTATAAGTGGTGCAGTGAAGGATACTTATGGTGGGTGTCAAATAATTTGCCTAAATGGAGAATTATTTCAGGGTGGTTTGAGAGACTGCAGATCGCTGGGTATTATCTCTAGATGAGGAGCAGTAGGCAGTTATGAGTTTTCCTGAACGTATTATTTCCTTCTGAAATAGGCTTGTTTATTGCTCTTACTTTTTTTTCTATATCTTCCATTTTACTCTTACTTGGCTTTTATATCCTGAGTGTTTAGAAATTGCCTTTTTGGATTACTCTTAATAATAATTTGTAAAGGGATTATAACCAAATGGTTTATATCCTAATATTGAACTGTCCTCAACTTGCTGCTTTTACATCTAAAACAGACAAAAGAGGAGAACAAATTGGCACCCAGAGTAACTATACGAACAAATGGGGGAGTTTGATGGTAGAATAAATCTAAATGCCTTTCTGGAGAACACCAATCCCTCATTATGGCTAGCCTTGAATAGCAGCCCACTCTGACAATGAGTGTTCAACTCAGATAGGAAGAGATAAAGTCTAGCCCAAAGCACTGTGGATTTACTGGGATTTTGGATTCCCTGCCACTTTGCCATAGGGAAACCTCCATCTGCATCCTTAATAGCTTTGCTAACCATTAAAGATACTGCAAACTATACACAGCACAGGTTACCTCACATGGCTTAACACCCTCCCTGCTTGTTACTTTCCATTTTTCTCTATCTTTGTGAAACACAAACATGCTCTTTGGTCTGGATTCTGAACTATATTTTGGAATGAACTGTGCTTGGTTGCTTTATTTAAATTACAGAAGTAAAACCCTTCTGAAAACTGACTCAGGCAACAGCGAGGTCTATTTTCTTGGCTTTGTGAAATGCTGCAAGACATTTCATCACTGGTCTGACACAGGCCTTTCTGTAAACTGGTGAGAGCATGAGCAAAACTGTAGGTTAACAAAGCTGCCCTGCGGGTTTGATACTTCAGAGGTGACACATCTGGCACCTCCAAATTGAGATGCCTTTCCACTAAACCACAGTAATGTTTCCTTGGTAAATCTAATCATACCAGCAAACACCAGATCTGGAGATGGAAAGTGCTTTTGTGTGTGGCTAATTCATTATTTGTATGTGTAAGGTGGCCACTATTTGCAACTGTAAGTCTAATTGCTGGGGTCAATGCCTATAGGAATGGACTCTAGATAATACTTGCTCCTGCCTCAGTGCAGGGGACTGGATTATATGACCTATGCATGTCCCTTCCAGTCCCATATTTCTATGATTCAATATTTTATGAGCATCCTTTATTATTCAAATCTAAATAAATAAATTAAAGCACACAGAATTTATTTTAAAAGTCAGCTAATTAGGGGCATGTTTTTAAGGGTGAGAAATTCTACACAAATTAGATTCAAACTGAAGCTTTTTGCACATTGCTCTCATATTATTAAATGTCACTCTCTTACATGGAACTAACCATCCTCAGATGCTAGACTGCCACATTTCCTGCCAACTTCCTCCAAAACCAGAGCATCATTACTGGCAGATGAACCAAATGCTGCAATTGTACAGCGATTAGTCTTTTGTTAAAATACACATGAACCTTACTTCTCTTGTGAACAGCTCAGAGCACATGGAGTGGCCTCCTTCAAACCTATTCCACTCAGCCAGGACTTTATCTGCCTCCCCACCCTACTCACCATAACAATGCAGACTGAAGTTACTAATAAACCTGGGCATATTTGTTAAATGCAGGTGCTTAAGTGTAGGCTCCATGAGGAGGACAGCATTTGCCTCTTACTATATAAGCCAGGGACGGCCAAACTGCTGCTCTTTTACAGTTGAAGTGCGGCTGGTGGAGCCCCCCAGGCATCCCCCATTCTCAGCCTACCAGATGGGGGATGGAGCTAGGGGTTTCTGCCCTGGCTGCGGCATGGTGGTGGGGCTAGGGGCTTGTGCCAGAGAGAGGATGGTTGCCTGTTGAGAGTGGGGGGGCACAATTTAAAGGTCCCCCCAAAAACAGCTTGAGTTATGCCCCTCCCAGGTACACCCTCCCTCTTACCCTCAGCGGTTCTCCCTGCAGCTCCCAGCTGTTTGCTGCTGCTTCTCCCCACAGCCTAGCTTGCCAGCTCCAGCAGCTGCTGTGCAGGGAGGGGGCCTGGTGGCATCCAGTGATTGAGGGAGGCCTGAAAATCCTGGCAAAAATCTGGGGGGAGAGCATACGGCCCTATGTCTTCTTTCCATTTCCCCCGGTCACCTCAGGCTTCTGCCCAGCAGGGAAGGGGGTGTCAAGGTTTCAGCCCTGCAGGGCACTTCTGCCAGGGCTCGGGGCTTCAGCAGGAGCAGGACTGAAGCCCCAAGTCCAGACAGACACCTCCTGTTGGACCACAGCCCCAAGATCCCCCTCCCCGCAGGGCTGAAGCCCTCAGCCCCGCCACCCTAGCAGTCACGCCCGGTTCTTGAACTTCTGAAGATTGTCATATGCAGCTTGGAGAGTCAGTAAGTTTGGTCACCCCTGGTATAAGCAAACATTTATTTTGCAAGGTTTTTTTACACTAAAAAAAAAACACACAAAACAAAACAAACAAAAAACCCTTCTACAAAAGGTGACTGAACCAATGTAAACCTCAAAACAAACCCCCTCAGCTTTAGAGGAATGGGGTGTTGTGCTGGGCTTATTGCTATAGGAGTCACTTTAGGCATGTATCTGGGAGGCTCTGCTGTGAAAGCAAAATCATCTCCATCCCACTTTTGCTTATGATCTGTGTAGTTTGTCAATGTGTGTGACTCCAGGAATTGGTTCTCGATTCCAAACCTGAGGTTGTTGCCCTAATCTGTGTGGCTTTTGTGGGCTCTGCACTTCCTGTGAGCTTCATCTTGAGATGTTCTTACATGTCTAGAGCGCCTTTCATTCAAAGTGAACTGATAGACAAGCTCCATCTTCCCCAGAGCTTCTGGGCAGAGACCCTGCCCCAGCGAGCCCCATGCAAGCCCCAGTGCAGTAGGTCAGTAACTCAGGACAAGAAGTGCACAACACTTCATCGGTTTCAAGGTTTCCCCTGTGCGGATGGTGGGAGTCAGAATCAAAGCAGTCGGGGATCGCTGGTCAGGGCCAGAGTTTTCTCACTGGAAGTCTCTATCTGGGCACTTCTAGGCTGATATCTCAGTGCAAAGAGCTCTCTCCCCCATCCTGCTCTTTAATAAAACGTATTAGCCGCCCCCATGAACTGGATCGGTAGGTTTTCAACCGTTTTTCATTGCTAGGGTGACCAGATGTCCCGATTTTATAGGGACAGTCCCGATTTTGGGGGGCTTTTTCTTATATAGGCTCCTATTACCCCCCACCCCGTCCCGATTTTTCACACTTGCTATCTGGTCACCCTATCATTGGCAGACCCCCTAAACAATTTCGAACAGAGGTGTGGACCCCTTTGGAAATCTGTTGTCTGGAGATATAGTTGAATTCAGTTTTCAGCCTGCCTTCTCCCAGACAGGTTCGAAGGGGTGTGTTTGAAAAGCGAAGGGTCGATGTTGGGGGAAGAAGGGCGAGGCTGCTCCAGGCACCAGCCGGCTGCTGGCTTGCTGAAGATGCAGCCTCCCCACCCCGCTGAGCAGCGGAATGAGGGCAGAGCGAGCCCGGGCTGAGTTTCGGGAGCAGCGCACGGAGAAGCGGCGAGGCTGGGCCGTCTCCCCGGGGCACGGCACGGGGCGGAAGGGAGGCCCCTCGCCGCCGATGGTCGCCTCTCCCAGCCGCCGGGGCTCCTCCCCAGCCTAGAGGCACCCGCGCAGGGAGCATCCCTCCCTGGAAGAGCCAGAGAGGGCCCGGGCGGGCGGGGGCGCTGGGAGACCGGGCGGACCACTGGCTCCCGAGCCCCCTGGCGCCAGCTTTGCTCCCCCCACCCCCGAGGCCGGGCAGCGGTCCCTACCTGCCTCCTGCAGCCGAGTCCGGAGCGCAATGCTCAGCGAGAGGCGGGGAGGGAAGCGCAGCCCGGCTGGAGGCGGGGAGAGCGGAGCGCACGCTGGCTGCTCGCCGGGGCGGGGCGGGGGGGGCTGCCCGTCGTGTTCAGCCCCCCGCCCCGCAGAGCCCCTGACTTGCCCTTGGGTTATCTAGCTGCAGCGATGCTCGGAGCCAGTCCCGCCCTTTGCTCTCCTGCCCTGTTTCTACTGCTAGGGAGCTGCATTTCTCTATCCAGAAGGACCCTAACGCGCTTTGCAAACCAGACCCAGGAACCACTTCACCCAGGATTGAAATGCAGCCTCCTCTGGGGTGGAACACAGCAGCTGACAGCTCAGAGCTACATAGGGAGTGGAGTAATCCCCATCCAATTGGAGCGTCAGAGGGAATGAATGAAATCACCCAAATCAGAAGTGAGCCAGGACACCAGAAGTAACATCGTAACAGTTGCTTTCTCCTGTACCATGGGCACTTTAATGACCATACATCTTCCAGACTTTCGTTTTATATATTGTCCAAAAGAAGGCACTTCCAACAAGCAGCTTGCCCCAGCATCATGCTGAGGCATTGGTTAGATGGTGAGGCATGCTCCCTCAACGTCAATGATAGGGCTTTATATCTGGTGACCTGAGCTGTTGCATTTTACTCTGGATTCTTATAATATTGCTATGAGAATAATCAAGCCAACTAGGCAATCTGAAGTGTAAATCAGGATGTTCCCAATAGATCTGTATACACACAGGCCCATAACACTTCCCCCTTCTGTCACCGCAATCAAGAAACAAAATATATCAGTCTGTGCAAAGACTGTGCAGGAGCTTTCAGAGTGGGACCTGCCAGCACATGCAATGCTGGGACCTTGATGTCATCCCAGCAGAAGGCACATCCTGTTTTCTTACCCAACTTGTTACAATCAGCTGTCTTGCACTGTAACTGATGTCACAGATGGAAGTTGCAGTTTTGAGAACAGATGTCAGAAATAGCGTCAGTGCATACTCTCCTCCCCCCAACTTGTGTAAAACATCCCATAAGTGTCTCTCCCTTGCACTGGGCAGGGGCCACTTTAGGTGTGAATATTCAGTCTTTGGGTTGTAATGAAATTGCCAAGAAATATAACAATTGTGAGAATGTTTCTTTAGTCCAGTAGGATGGAGGAATGAGATCACCAACTCATTTTCCATGTCACCAAACATCCCCCAGATGACATCATGTTTCTGTTTTATACTGACCCAGGAACAACAAAGAAATAAAATCCTCTGTGTCCCATTACCAGTCCTCCAAAACCTTCCAGTCCCACAATGTGATGCTAATTAGTTCTACAGTCCTTCGGGGACTGTCTTTTATGTTTGTACACCATGTAGCACAATGGGGCCCTGATCTTGGCACTACTGTAATACAAATAATAATAGTAATGAATAATAACAGTCCCACGTTTTGCTATCCTTTTTATAATCCCAATAGCAAAACACTAAGGGAGTGACTGTCCTGCCCACCCGCTATCTTTGACAAACTCAAGGTTTATGACTAGGCTAATAAATATCCTTATACTGCGGTTAGGAGGCAATTATTGCTTGATTAAAGAGCTTTTGTTACAAAACCTGTGTTGCTGGGGTTTGGTGCATTTTGGCCTTGGGGATTGGTGCATTTTGGTCCCTCCTGTCTTTGCCTGTGGCAAACAATAGTGTAGTCTGCTTAGGGCTGTAATAGTCTGGTTTAATTCTGGTTGTTGGGTGTACTGTGTGGGTAGATGGCTGTTGTTGGTGGCCTGTGATGTACAGAAGGTCAGACTAGATGATCTGGTGACCTCTTCTGGCCTTAAACTCTATGACTAGGAAAAGGCTGGGGAGATCAGCCAAATATTGTAGAGGCCAAAATATGTGAACATGAAGCATTACAGTAAAAGAGAGTTGTGGGGAAGGATTTGAAGGAGGATAATGAGTTAGCTTTGTGGAAGTTTATGGGGAATTTCTCCAAAACTTGGGGGGCATCATGGGAGAAAGCACAAAGATGCTTGTTCAAAAATTTAACAAATAGACAATGGAGGCTGACATCCTTGGCCAATCAGAAGCGAGAATTGACTTTTTGATGCTGAATGAAAGATGAGAGGTAGGGTGGGGATAGGTCGTTAAAGGGCTTGCAAGTGAAGACAAGTAGTTTATGTTTGATATGATAGAGAAAAGGATGCAAATAGTTTGGACAGAAGACGACAACTCTGGAGTAGAGAGGATGATTCACATAGAGATGGTAGTTTAATTTGCATTTGTGGATGAGATTACCCAGAGATAAGGTGGAGAGGGAGAAGCGAAGGGGACCAAGGACAGAGCCCTGTGGAATCCCTACAACAAGCTGGAGGAGGAATGAGGAGGCTCCTTCAAAGGACACCTTGAGCGATTAGAGAGGTAGGAGGGGAACCAGGAGAGGATGGAATAATGGAAACCAAAGGAGGACAGACAAGATTGTAAGAAGAGCATGGTTGACTGTGTTGAAGGTAACTGACAGGTCCAGGGGGAAGAGGATGAAGTACTGGTTCGGTGATTTGACTAAGAAGAGGTTATTGGAGACTTTGGTGAGAGCGGTTTCAGTTGAACATAAGGGGTGGAAACAGATTGGAGAGGGCCTCGGATGGAAGTGGTGGAGATTAATTCCAGACAGCAATTGTAAACTATGTGTTCAATTAATTGAGAGATGAAGTTAGATGGGGAGGTAGTTGGAGAGATAAGTGGGGTCAAGTGTTTTTTTTTTTAAGATGGGAGAGATTAAAGCAGGTCTTTCAATCAACTGATGTTTGCCTCCCCTCAGCCAGTGTTGCGGTAGCTAGCTTTCTCCCCAAAATCTCTTTTTTAAGAACCCCCAAAGGGAGTGATGGCTGGAATAGCCCAACATCTCATTATGCTGTCCACCAATTACAGTTTCTGACACATCAATGTTGGTCCATTGATACCTAGTTCCATACTCTTCTTGGTTACCAGGCATGATCTTAACACAGTCTTTGAGTTATATCTGTAAGCCTTTTTGTTTTGACTAATTCAATCTTTCGATCTCACTTTTGCACCTTTTCCCATAAACATGTATTATTACAGGTTATTGTGACTGTGACTTTGTGCAGTCTATATGGTTTTATAAAAACATAATAAGAAGTGAATATAATATAACTGGAATAGTTTTATAAAAATATAAGTGAATATAATGTAACTGGAATATGCTTCATGCAAAAGGTCTCTTGTAAGGTATCATTACAAAGCTTATAATCTACTGAATGTGATCATCCCATTTGTATAAATGTACCACTCTTGTATCTAAAACTAGAAATATGAAATATAACTCTGAGGGCCTATTGTAATTATGTAAAGTGTGGGCCATTAATGATGGTTTGGAATCTTGATGACTCCCATTAACAGGACCATTATCCGCAGATGACTGTGTTTACCTGTGAGTCTTCCTGTATATGTGTGTGCTGGCAAGTGAGTAATGAAGTCTTGCAGTGACATGTGATCATGTCACCTGAACTGGAATCCATCTTTAACCTGGTGCTTTTCCAGTGAGGGGGGGTGAAAACCCAGAGGGACAAAGGGTTCCCGCCTTATGCAAAAGATATATAAAGGGGTGGAAGAGAACAGGGATGGAGAGAGGAGCCATCATGAAGAATCCCCTAGCTATCACCTGAGCTGGAACAAGAGCTGTACCAGGGGAAAGAATTGTGCCCAGGTCTGGAAGGTGTCCAGTCTGAGAAAAAACTTACTGAAGCATCTCTGAGGGTGAGATTATCTGTATTCAGTTTGATTAGGCATAGATTTGCGCATTTTATTTTATTTTGCTTGGTGACTTACTTTGTTCTGTCTGTTACTACTTGGAACCACTTAAATCCTACTGTCTGTATTTAATAAAATCACTTTTTATTTAGTAATTTACTCAGAGTATGTATTAATACCTGGGGGAGCAAACAACTGTGCATATCTCTCTATCAGTGTTATAGAGGGCGAACAATTTATGAGTTTGCCCTGAATAAGATTTATGCAGGGTAAAACGGATTTATCTGGGGTTAGACCCCATTGGGAGTTGGGCATCTGAGTGGTACAGACAACCACACTACAGTGAGCTGTTTTCAGGTAAACTTGCAGCTTTGGGACAAGTGATTTAGACCCTGGGTCTGTGTTAGAGCAGACTGGAGGCCTGAGCTGGCAGGGAAAACAGGAGCAGGGGTAGTCTTTGCACATCGGGTGGCAGCTCCCAAGGGGGTTTCTGTGATCCAGCCCGTCACAGTGACACTTTATAACATTTCACTGTCTTCTCACAGTTGAGCTCATAATTAGGGTAAATTTGTAGCAATTATTACAACATCTGTTGGACCATCTCAGACATTAGTATTCATAACATTAAACTAACTCTCCAATAAGAGCAGTTGACTAATTCCTGACAATTTCACTACAGTTCACAGTTGCAGTACATTGAATGTGAGCCATAATTTTAGGGAAGTATTTAGTTCTTTTTCTGTCTTATAAGCAGTTTCATTTCTTGTCCGGATTTTTTACTTTTTCCTCCAAGAAACAAAGAAAAATCAAAACTGATTTATACTGTATCTTTGGTTGTTCTAATGTTTCTTCTTTTCTACACCTTATCAATTTAGGGTTTAGGAAAATAACTTTTAAATGCTGTTTAGTATTTGTGTTTTTAGTAAATAACATACATTTATTTTCTTGAAAAAACAACATACAATAAAACAAGGTGTAGTTAAAGACTGGCTTGAAAGCTGTCTAATTTTTGAATGAGATGCTGTAATCTATTATAAATCATTAATCCATGGCCATATTTATCTGATTAGATTGATCCAGGTTTCCAGTTTGACTTTGCATTTTCAGCCCAAGGTGTTCTAGCAATAAGAAATTTATGATTTTCAGAGTTCTTGCACATTCCAGAAGACAAATTTAATCCAGATTCTGTTTCCACAATACACCTTCGCCACCAGTGAAGGTACTTGTTATAAATGCATAAAATAGATGTCACTTTTTCTTTTTTATATTTATTACATTTTCTATTTACTATCTAATTTTAGAA